ATCTAATGGGGACCCTGCTGAATGCCACAGAATGCAACACATCTGAAAACAGAAACCCTGATTTATGCAACACACTTGAAGTGGAAACCCTGCTTAATGCAACACAGCTGTAGTGAGAGCCCTGCTGAATGCATCAAAATGCAACACAACTGATTAACCGTGTTAAATGCAACAGAATGGTACGAAGTGCACTTGATAAACACCAGCCTTTGCTCTATCAAGTTACTTGATGCACTGTGCCACCCTTTGTTCACTACCACTGCAAATGCAACAACTTTCACCCCAGGGCTGTTGTGTTACATCTAGCAGAGATGGAATTAAAGAGGTGCAGTAAATTATCAAAGAGATCATTTGTACTGGCGTCACTTACTGGTCGTGAACATTTTAATCCACCATCTCTGATATCATGCTCTGTCTGAAAGACAGCTTTATCTATGGCTATGGCTGTGGCTAGCCTATGATGGCAAAACTGAGTGCTAAAAATAAGGGCAAAAACAGGCCCAGAAAATACAACCTGACATCAAAGACGGTGGACCAAGAAAAAGATCTGTCTGTGGAATCATGACTAGTTACCTAGTTTATGTTTATACACGTACCTACATTATGTGAAATGTTCAACATTTCTGAAAATCTTGGTTTTCAACAGTACATCTTTGTCTATTTACTCTGTGTCTGTCTTTCAGGCACCTGTTGTCACGGAGCAATCCAAACCCTCAGATGACCTCTTTAAGGAGTTTAAAGACACCTTCAGTGCTCCCCCACAGCCTGCTGCTGCATCCACGAACCCATTTGGTGGCGGAGGCATGGGTGGTGGCTTCGGCATGACCCAGCCTGCCATGGGCGGGTTCCAGCAGCAGCCAGCATTTGGCCAGATGCCCATGGGAATGGGCCAGCAGCCCATAGGAATGGGCCAGCAGCCCATGGGAATGGGCCAGCAGCCCATGGGAATGGGCCAGCAGCCCATGGGTATGGGTATGGGCATGGCTCCCATGGGAATGCAACAGCAGCAGCAGCCGCAGCAGGACCTTTTTGGCGGGACCACACAGAGCTCGTCCAACTCCTTTGATGCCTTCACCTTGCAGCCGCAGCAGGTCCATCCAAAACCAGTGGAGAAAAACGGGGGGCCGGCCAAAAAGCCGGACCCATTTGGAGATATCGCAGTCCTGGGTTCAGCTCCCACCGATGCCAAAGATCCCAAAAAGAAGGACCCATTTGCTGGCTTTAAAATGGCCAAGCCAGGTGAAGTGAAAGTGCCGGAATTCAGCCAGTCTGGAAACACCGCTGCCAGTAATGGAGCAGCCTCGGGTAATGCCCCTTCACTATCCCTTGATTTGGCAAAATCACATGACATCTCTGAGGAATTTAGCCTCCCTTCACCACAGGGTCCACCTCCGCCATTGCCCACGAACATCTTAAGCCAAGGTGTTGGTATCAGTTTGAATCTGGACGATGTTGGGGACATTCCCCCACCTCCTCCAAGGAGGTCTAGGAGCAGTGTGCCTTCTGAAGGTTCACCGCTTCCTGTTCCTCTGCGCACTAATCTTCAATCCCCTGTGTCCCCAAGTTCATCCACAGACTCACATGAATCCGAAAGTGCATTAAGGACTACACTTGATACCACTAACACCAGCTTAACGATCCCCTCGCTAACCAGAAATCCTTCCTCATCACCCTCAAACTTGGCTTCCCTTGCCAACGACGGCACGAATGTGCATGGCAGTGGTGACGGCTTGGCAAACGCAGCGTCAGACCTCAACTCAACTCATTCAAATAGCATGGGAAACCTTTCCTCACTGGGTCATGGGTTGAGTTCTCCCACGGAACAGGGCAAGCTGCAGGCATCCCAGCCCAGCCCTATATCACTACCTGACTCCAACTCATTAACAATTTCACTGCCAACAGACTTTATGCTATCTAGTAGACAGTCACCGCTTTCATCTCACCAATCATCATCATTGTCAGTTCCATCCCAAACCACCAGCAGCAAGCCCACAGACTCAACTAGGCTATCTCCACTCTCGGCCTCTATCGGTTCTCAGGATGTGCTTTCAAGCTCAGCACCGGTGTCAGACTCATTTTTCAACCATCGTTATGCCCATGCTTCCATGACCTCTTCTGCCTCCAACCCCTTGCTGAGCAAAATCACCGTGCCAATCCTGCCTGTTACTGACGACCCTTTTGCGGATGACCCATTCTTGCGTGGCTCTCCAACTGTCAAGAAGGTCTTCGTACTGCCGCAAAAGTTTGATCCTCATGCTATTGTCACGTCAGTCCCGGCATGCACTGGGGGCGCTTTCACATCAGCATCCTTTTCATCAACTTCATTCTCATCACCCTCACAACAAACAAATGCCACCACCACTAATTCAGTAAATGACTCAAATGGTAGTAACGGTGTTTCTGGTGTGTGGGCAGATCCATTTTCAATCGGAGGAAGCGGAGGACAGAGTGCTCCTAAAGCTGCCGGTGGACAACCCTTATTTGACGACTCCCCATTCGGTGCCTTTGATTTCAGCAACCCTGATAAAAACTGAGATGTGAGTACGTTGTATTTATCAACAAGTCTTCCAAACCTAGATCCAGAAACCTTTTTTGTATACCTCCATTTGGCATTGCTTAGGAATATTTAAACCAGAGGAAACAAACTTTAGAACCAATCATTGATAGTTGCTTCAACATTTGTTCTCCTATCTTTTACAGGATAGGCGCAGAATCTTTTAGCATCTGAATCATGCCCAGCGCCGGCTTGTAGAGGATCAATTATGTAACACACTTTGTGTACATTGTAACAGTCATTCAATATAAAGGATGTGTAGAAGAAATTTGGAGTTGGAAGGTGACACTCATAACCCAGTTATCAGATGAACTGTTTTTGCAATTACGAGATGGCGTGTTTGGGAGGCAAGATTTGGTCTTGTCAAGGTCAGGTGTAAAGTTTGTACGCACAGTACATGTCAGTCAAGTTTGAGGTGCAGTAACTGAACGTGACTTGCCAATTTCTGGTGCAACAGACAAAATGACCAGTATTCCTTTTATTAGATTTTATCCCTGTGTGCTGCCGTGAGATTTACATGTATGTCGTTCAGTAATAGCCAGGTACTTCTACATTCTAGCTGGCTGGTAAGTTGGGAGTATCAAGTACCGGTACATCAATCAGGAGAGGTTCAGTGCCAAAATTATTTTTCTTTGGGTTGCATGTGATGTATACATTTGGGTCTGGTGTCAAAGAAATCAGTTGAGAAGCTCTCAGAAAATGGTGAGAACATTTTCAGCAGTAAGTTTCAAACTTAAAAACTTTCAATGATCACAGCAAAATCTGAAACAGTAAATCATACAATACGGTGCTTAGATTCTTAGTGAAATGCAAAAAGAAATTATGGCTCACTAACAAAGAATTTTGTTGATAATGAAGTTAAGGATTAGCAGTCAAATAATTTGACAGTCTGTGCTGTGCCATGGGATGCAATTTCACTTTTTCAATTATACAGGTTTTTATCCTATTGAAGTTGTATCTTTTGAGAGAAAGATTTCACAATGCATTAGCAAAGCAGATTTCTCAAACTTGTTTTCCTTTAGAATGCTCGCAAGCCTAGTGTGACACTTGCATACATTTAGTGTACTTCAAGTCAGGTGCAAATCTTAGGGTCTTAAAGTGTAGGGATGTTTCTCATATGAACACAAATTTATTTGGTGTGCAACTCTTACTGCCTTGATTATCTGAACTTCAAACTTCAGTGTAACTTAAATGATGTACATGTATATCCAATACTTAATCCAGTCTGATGACCCTGGATTCCTCATGGAATAGAGTGGAAGATGAGATGATTCTTTAGTTTTGGAGGCTGATGGTTTTAAACTGCCAGGTTTTCTGCTCGGCATTCATTTTTACACACTCCACTTCTTGAATTAACATTACCCACAACAGGCATCTGAAACTTTTTGTGTACATACCATTGCCTTGTACTGCTATTTTTGCTACGCCAAATTGCAGCTTAACGTTTGTAAATTCCAAGTCGCCCCACCTTTGTTGTACCGTCTCAACTAAAGATGTTGTTTGTAATACTGCTCGGTATATTTTATTAATTTTATTTTTACTGCCCCTTCCTTTTCCGTCAACTACTCGTGCATTTTTCTTTGTAATTCATGAATAATAATATAGATGTAGATGGTTACTTTCCCTTTTAGTGCATTGTTCCAAATTATATCAGTTTTAATGCTTTTATTTTAGGGGGGGTTCCAAGATAATTGATCTTGTTTTACAATTGTACTGGCAGTCTTGGTCTTTAAATCACACAAAAAGTTTTATTCGTTGGTAGTTTTTTATACACCTCTAACTCAATGATTCTCACAGTAGTGCACTTACACATATTTGTGTCCTACAGTTGGGGTGACCACGCACGAATTGAGCAGTAGTTACTGTGGTGACCCAAAACACGGAGACACACTCTAGGTCCCTCAGTCTTGTCCAAGTTTTCCTAAGAGAGAAAACTTGTTGCCAGTCGGCACACCATCACATGCACTGGTGTCGATAAAAAGGCATCTCCAGTTACCGATTCTGAAGTGGTCACCGTGAGAGACATTCTTCTGTAGTTCTCAAGATGTTGATTAAAAGGTGACCTACTCTGAATAATGACCATGCCAAACTTCAAACCTTACAAGGTTTCGTGTTACACTCATGACTCCCACTGTCACATACACTACTGTTTTACCTGTTGGTATTTGACAGGCAGAGAATACACCCATAAGCATCAGCAATCTTTTTTTTTGTGGGATGGCTTGTGTTGTGACATTTTCTTGTGTTACAAGAAGCCAAGATCTGTTATAATGCAAGAAAGGTATAATCTGTGACACCTCACCCACAGATTCAGTATCCTGATTGGCCGACAGCAAGGCACATGGGATTCACTAGTTGAGCTTTCTTTTTTTCAAGATGTATTTGAGCTATCTTGTTGTGCACAGCCAAAAGAACAATACCAGTCGCAACCAAAGTACTTTACCTGGAGCCAGTGGCATAACTAGGGGCTATTACGTCCTGGGGCACCTGGGGGACCCCCCTCGGTGTACAGGTACACATAACCAGGGGCATTGCACAATGTATTTAAATGCATACTTGCGTTCACGTGGGAGAGGTGCTGACTGCTTTATCTCGTGGTGTTGCAAAACTAAGCCTCCTAGAGAGATCAATGGAGTACATTTATTCCATTTCTCGCCTTGGGAAAACAGAATTCTCCATGGATCACTGGGGAAGGCTAGGTTTACTACACCTCTCAAAGCAGTCAGTGTAGTCGTATATTAGATCAAAAATGAACAGATTCATGCGTCATCTGAATGTACCTAAATGCTACTGGTACATCATTGAAAGACATTTGTCATATACATGTAAGCTGAAAGGTCCTCTTTTGATGCCGTTTTGTTTTATTTAAGAACAATATGTTAAATTCATCCCAAACTTCATGCTTAATTTTATTTAACCATTAATTTTTACATTATCTTAAATATATCGAAATCTATTACCAGACTTTGCTTGGCTATTTACAAGATTGTAATCAATGCTCTAGTGTGTTCTATTCTTGATATAGTATACTCAGTACTTCTGCCAGTTTAATTTTTTTTAAAGTAAATGTATGAATCCTCCGGGGGGGGGTCAGCTGTATCAATCAGTGTCCTTACATGCTTTAAGCTTTTAAATGTTGCAAAGTAAACTCGGCCTTGTAGATTCGCAAGATGCATGTTATTGCTCGAGAAACTGTGCAAGACAAGGGAGCTGATGCTTGCTGCTGCAGTTGAGTAGGATGCCATTTTATTGTGTGTCCCACAGTACACACTCAAATCCTTCATAAAGGCACTGTTGAGATTTTGAGACAGGCTGTGCGTGGTAGGGAAAACTCCTTTTTGCATGCGTTGTGGAACAAAAGCACTGGCTTGCAAGATGGTAGCATGCAAACACTCGATATCACAGGAATAATGATTGTTCAGGAGTGAAGTGGAAGGAATAATTTTATGAAGTAAGAAATGGAATGCTTCACTCGGTTATTATTTCTATTTCATGAGTGTTAATGGTTCATTTTTGTTTTTATACAACTGAATCATCAATTAATCCATGCATCACTGGCATGACGGGTTTAGATATCTTTCATAGTTCTGCCAAAGGTCAACTATGCAGCGGGTTGATAGACAGCTGATTCCGTTTTCCAGTTGAATGAAACGCTTGTGAGTTGGGACAAATGATTGATAGACAGGTGATCAATGACCTGCCAACTTGTATGTTGTTTTCTTCGCTCACAATAATTTTCAAGTTTGCCAGTTTGACAGATAAAAGTATTTCTATTGGATTTGCTGACATTGAAGTGTCAATCTTCCATCAGCTTCACTCGTGTAATTTCAGGTACAACCTGATTTGTATGCACATAGGATTCTAGTACACAGATCATGCGGGTACTTTCTTGTCCGCAGCAATAGATGTAGTTGGCCAAATTTCCTGTCCAAATGTTCTCCTAGTGCTGCATTCTCAAGTTGGAAGTAAAATTCCCACCAGCTCTGTCACATTACGCAGTAATTACCTATAGCAGTCAGTTTTTGGTTCTTCAACATTTTAAGAACGAATTGGCATTGATTTTTGCTCATATTTCAATTTATTTTTCCGTGTATCAAAACAGAAAAATTGATTTTCTAAGTATTTGGTATTTTTTGAGAAATTTGTTACATGTATTTTTCAGATCAGTTTGATTTATTAATGTCAGTTTTAATTGGGGAACATTTGGAATAATCCAAAAGATTCATAAAGAAATGCTTTCCACATCTGTGTACTGCCTTAAATATTTCTGTCACCAATAATATTTGCAATAACATTTATTATTGTAATCTTAAATCCTATTGCAACTTTGTAGATTCAATAGTTTTCTAAAAAAAAGTCACCATTTTTATTCCTAAAACAAAACAATTATTGAACATTTCTTTTATTTTATCATAATGTTATTGCCAAAATGGAACTTAAATGCATGACAGGTTTGTTTCTAAATGATGTAAGATGAAAACTAAAATAGAAAATATTTCATATGTTACCTTCTTATAATATGCAAAATCTATTTTCAAAGAATTGGTTAAAAATGAAATAAAACATGATTTAAAATGGACTTCGGAGTAATGCATGGAGTTAATTTTACACGTAAGTGCATCTTGTCTTTGCTTTGTTTCAGCTCTCACCACAGGACTTAATTAGTGAAGTGGTTTTTACTTAAGGTGGTCTATTACTCTAGGTCACCGTGAAGCTTTGGTGAAGAACGAAGACAGAATTGGAAAGTCACTATGCATACATTTATTCTTGAAGCTTGTCAGACCAAACTCTTTGCAAAGAGGGCCCACTTATCAAGCAAAAATAACGTAGGCCTAACGCATGAAAAAAAGACTTACAGGAAGGTAGCCCTGTTAAATTATCGCTATAGGCCTACCTGAGGTGTATTCTGGCAGTCATAACCAAACATTAGTTCTGTTCATCTTTGGTTGAGTGTTTTGGCGGGTTGGAGCTCGAGTAGACCTACCACATCATTACACGCAGACTTAATTTGTGCCTAATTAAGGCTTCTGAAGGCATTCTCCGTCTGTAAAAACGCCCCCCCCCAATTTCTTGGTTACAGCTGCCAAAACGCACTCCTGATATGTTTTTGTTTGGGATTAAGCATCAGATACTTACCGAGTCCACTGATAGTTAGGTTTTGAAGTTTTCATCAGCGCCAATGGACCTGACAAGTCCTTCAATTTGCAGCACGTTCAGCAGTTGATGTTTGAGCTGCCCGGGTGCTCACCACGACGAGGAGCCAGAGACTCGTTTGGACTGGCACTGGCCTTCACCGGTAAGGCCTATTGAGACCACCGTTACACCGTATGCTCAAATGCTAGCTGATGGATGGCATCATCCGTCCTCTGGTCCCCAACTATGAAGGAAGATAGATTTCCCTTACCTTATCAAGCTACAAATCTGTAAAAATCAGTGCTACAGTGGAATATATCTCACGGTTTATTCTCTGTGTTACAGATGCACGGTAATGCAATGAAACTTTTGCAGAAAGTGCTGGAACCGAATCACCTCAGATTGTTACGCCGAAACAGTAGGTAAAACCAACTTCAGCCAAGGTGCTGTTACCTAAAAATGTCTGGAAATCATGCTTTGAAATAAATTATTGTTGAAATTCAAAATTGTGTGACAAAATTAAATGCAACCATTTCAATATTATGGAAACGGGTTTTCAAAAGCGCACTACATTTCGTTTGTTGAATGAATACATTTCTGCTGCGAAATTATAAAACTATCAGTCCTTCGCAATTTCTCATTGGTCTAAAAGTCTACAAGCTGTCGCCCAATGGTCAAGATTAGTTGATGTACATGCAGGCCGGTTCATTCAATTACGTCACATCAGTTATTGTTGTTGAAACTTGGGAAGGGTGGGAAGCGCCTATGGCGCGGTGATGAACAAACGCTAGAAGATTTGTTAATCATATAGTTTGATTCAATCATAATGATTACAAAAAGGGAGTATAATGAAATCGAAAGTTTATTTTGAAAGTTTGCATTTCAATGCGATGGAGCAAAGCAATTCAGGTTCATTTCCTTTACCAATTTCAAGTCATAAGGCCCGTCAGGTTTCGACCGAAAACAAGGGTCAGGTAATTTTACACTCATTACAAAAACCTATATTTACTCTACGACTTGACGCAAAAAGCAAAATGAGGTATCTCACGATTTTTGTATGGATTTTCAAAGATTAGAAATAGTATGACATGCCGTATCCCCGATGGATTTTTTTTTAACAAAGAATGAGTCCGTAGGAGAGAAAATGTTCGGTATATTTATTTATCAAATATTAGCACCAAATCCCCCAGAGAACAACACCAGCAAATAAACGCCAGGATATCGGACCTGTGAGTAAGGCTTTTGATTTTTTTTCTCATCATGGATTCCCCCCCCCAAAAAAAAGCTGGATACGCCGCTGATGACGTCAACCTTGTAACACCTCAGGCACCGCGGGTTAATGTTCATTTACTCATACTTGAAATTTCAAGTTCATGTGTTGTATCATAAGTTTGGGAAAAAATGGCCTGGGGAAGTATAATCTGGAAGAAAACAAGTGCAGAAGGCTTTAATCGTATGATTTCATAATTTCATAACGGTGACTGGGCATACTTGCTAGAACAATGAAAAGTTTACCTTGCCTGGCAGGAGCAGGGCAATAGATGGCGCACTTGAAAACATCTTGAACATTGCGTGGCTAACCCGCCTCTGATCACTGCATTTCAGACAGCTAGCTGGGCGGAAAGACATATTGCTCAAAAATGGTAATACTCTAATAGATATGATCTTTTCCTCAACTAATCATGATGTGATCAAAATTACAAACTTGTTGAACACGCACATAGTTTCTCATGCTCTTAGGAAGTTTCTCTGTCCGTAGCAATATGTATGTTCAGATGTTGGGCGCGATCGGAAGGCCGTAACTCAAGTTAGGCCTATAGTTCTTACCCCCGCAGTTATTTGTGGGGTTCGACGTCTGCTCCCAACAACGTTCGTGGGCGGATGGTCGAACCCCACGAATCTGCGGGTACCCATGTCTTTGACGGATCAGCATTGTTCAGTGCAGAAGAATATATTGTGCTCCCTCCTGAGTTGATTATCCTACGAAGACAAGAGTCAAGATTGCCCTGACATTGAACGGCATGATTATGACGATAGCACAACAGCGTTGTGCTATCAGCAGATCAATTTTATTTGAAATCGCCAACTTAACATCCATTTTTAGAAACCATTTTCCACAACGTTGTGAGTTGTTTTCAAGATGTAATTTTTTTGCGTTGGGGAGATGTTAATTATATATAACAGGTTTTGCCCTTGTAAGTTGTATCGACACAAAGATTGACTATTGCATCCAACATGTTCAGCATCCATTAATAATGTTCTGGCTTCTGTCATGATTAGGCCATGTTAGAGTTGATGACATAGCCTGCTTAGTCTGAGTAGGCCTTACTAATACTAGGACCCTACAAATTGCCTTTTTTAACATTTGGACGTAGTCGGGCTCAACCTAACTTCTGCTTATAATACTTTTGGAGGAATAAGAACACGTGATGTAGCTGAGTCCCCTAACATTGGTATGTTATTGGCATGTTAAATGACGAAAATCACCTTTTCCTCTTAAACATTTGCATTGGTGAATTTTTTGGGGGGGTCCTGTAGGCTGACAGGAAGGCTACCAACCGCTACTACCCACCGGATTTCGATCCCACCAAGCATGGCTCCATCAACAAGTACCGCAACTCCCATCCCCTACGGGAGCGGGCCAAACGACTCAGCGAAGGCATCCTGGTCATCCGGTTTGAGATGCCGTACAACATCTGGTGTGGGGGCTGCGGCAATCACATAGGCATGGGTGAGTGACTGGAGTTTTGCCACTGGTGTGTTGCAGAGTTTCCTCCCGCTCCTGCCAAAAAATATGAATAAAATCATAAAGTGGTCTCAATCTTGAACAAGTTGTGGAAAGCTCAAGGACTGGCAAAATCAGGGTAACAGTAGGGTCACGATGGTGACCTACTGGCCCCCTTTACTGTATTTTTTGCCGTATACTTTTCCACCCACACAAAGCTCTGTATTGCACGTATAACAATAGGCCGTTCCAATACACCCCGCCCACTGCACACGTGGGCACTTAACACGTCCTCTTTGCCGACTCATGTTCCAGCCGCGCGCTTTATCGTGCGGTTGTGCACACGCGTCAGACATAAATCACGGCTGTGATTGGTCAGGACACAGTCGGGCGGAGCTTAGCCGATGGGTTCTATTTATTCAATCCTGCCCCTCCATCAGGCGTCCGCTACAATGCCGAGAAGACCAAAGTGGGCAACTACTACACCACGCCCATCTACCGCTTCAGGATGAAATGCCACCTGTGCGACAATTACATCGAGATGGAGACGAACCCCATGGAGTGCGACTACACCGTCGTGACAGGCGCCTACCGCAAGAACCAGAAGTGGGACATGGCTGAAAATGAACAGGTTCTGACAGAAGGTAGGCACTCTAAGTCCTCCGAACATCCACTGTATTCCTCTTTTATCATTATTACTCGATTATTGTGAATGTTCAGCCTCTCAGATCTTTTAAAATCCCAAAGGGGATTTTGGAATATTTTGTTCCATTCGCAGGAGAGTAGAGTCCATAGGTTTCCTGCAAAGTGAAGGATTTGGAAAGATCCCTTACAGAATGCTTAGAAAGACTGGCTATTTGCAAATGTTGATGGAGTTGGCATTAGGAAGATGCAACGCTGGTGATGCCCTCGTCCAAGTTAATTTAACCGATGCCAATATAAAGGATATAGTTATTAGGATACAACTCCAGATAGACTGGTTCCGTAAAGATTACATGACACACACTATATTTACGCGGTGGGTTCCAGAGGGCTTTTTTGATGCTACCAGAAAAAAACTACCGCACGGCAACGAGGTGGATACTCACCGCTATGACGTCACCTGGTCACATATCACCTCAGACTTGAGGTGGAATCGGCCAATGATGTGCTCCGATTTGTTCATGAATATTTATGAGGTGTAGTAAACACGTATTTTGTTTTTAGATCGGCAAACGGTTAAGAAGTTGGCCACGGATCCCATGTTCAAGTTGGAGCACGGCACGGATGACACCAAGAAACTTGAAGCCGTCGCCCCAACGCTGCACGAGCTGGAGCAGACGCAGACGACTTGGAAAGATGACTTTGAGCTGAACAGGATGCTGAGGCAGAAATTCAGGGTAGGAGATCAGTAACTTTTCATGGTTGCAGTCGGGAAACCTAAAAGTGTACTATCTTCTTGTGACGAGAGAGTCACATCTGAAGAGAATAATAAACTGGTATACCTATGCTGATTTTACTGCTAACCTGCTAAACTCAAGAGGTCTTGGGAACAAAGACCACTCATTCATTATGTTAACAGTCGGCAGCAACTACATAAGGCCTCTTTTGTCCACTGCTTGGTTTATAGTTATCGCGGTCCGGCTAAACATCAGCATTCCAGAATTTGGAAGGGACGTGACAGATTTTCGAAAAATGTTTATTCTCAGAAAGAGAAGACTGAGTTGAAGACGGCCGTTGCCAGAGACGAAGCCCTGCTGTCCAAATCTTCCCTTGACATTGCGCTGGTCCCTGAACATGACGAGGACAAGAAGCTGGCATCGCTGATGAAGTACAACACCGTGGAGAGTGAGTACACAAACCTGGATGTGAGATAATTCCCCCCCCCCGAAGCTGACCTTATCCGGGATGTGTATGGTGGGAAGGAAGTACGACTAGGATATGAAACCATACCCTTGAAAGTTACCATTTTACTACCGACTGCCTACTGTCCAAGAGGAAATTATCTCACGGACGGACACAGGCATACAAAAATCATGCCATTAATGTCAAAAGTGCAAGCTGAATTTCACAGAACTGAAAAGTGAATTTACTGAATTCCGAAGTTTTTTACATTGCCAAAAAAGATGTAGCCAAGTGTAACAGCGTTTATTGCTTCTCGCTGATTGGCTAATGAATGTGTAATTTGTGGTTCGGGAAACTGTACCAACATTTGACGATTGGACAGCAAATTTAAGTCTTGTAACTTTTAATTTTTGCATTCAAAGATCTTTTACACTTTCTGTTCTTAAATTTCACTTGTGTTTTTTTTTCTTTATAGCCTATGATGAGAAGCAAAAGAAAAAGAGGCAGGAGATATCAAACAGGAGTATCTTCTCCAAATCCTTGTCTTCGTCCTCTTCATCTACTCCGGCATCGGCGATGGCAACCACTCCCCCATCACAGGAGACATCAAAGCAGCACCGAAACTCGGGAGCCCAGAAGCAATTTGATCTGATCCACAGACTGAAAGCCGCAAAGAGAACGAGTGCCGGCTTTGATGACTTTGGCTCCTGTCCGGACAGAAAGACTGCGCGGCAGAGCGGGGGAATGGGGATCGTCCTGTCAAAGAGGCAGAAGGATACCCGAAACGGTGAAGAGAAATCGCCAGACCCCCAGGAAGACAGGACTAGGTCGGATCAAGAGGCCAGCAAAGTGGTCTCACCTAAACTTGAAGCCGGGTCAGTTCCAGAATCTGAGGTCACTAGAGATCGGGTGTGCACTGATCAGGAACTGAAAACTTGCAGGACAAAATGTGAATGCATTTGTGCTTCAGCCAAGCAACTCGGCCGCAGCTCTGAAGACGGAAATGGAGAAAGAACGACCACTGAACATGTGGCGACTGACTGTCTCAAAGATATCAATCTTGAGTTTTCAAACCGCCTACAAGCCACAGAAAGGCCTCACCGGCAACCAAACGGTTTTGAGAGTGGGCATCAGCCCAGAGGAGATTCAAAAAGAACCGTGGGTGACTGCACTGCACAAACTGAAGTTAGCCCGGGAAAGCTGACTGTTGGCAAAGGTAATGCAACCCTTGTGAAGTCGCTCGTGTCCTGTGACTACAGCAGCGGCGACAGCGATGGATCGGCGGATTAAATGCCAGAAACTTATACATTCTCTGTCTTCATTATCAAAGTGGAGCACCACTTTAAAATTCTTCAGCACCGACTCGAACTGTCCAGAATCGTGCACACTTTCTTTATTGGCCATTGAAATACTGTGTTGATTCTTGAATACGAGTGCTTACAACACTCCCAATGCTTATCCCCCAAAATATCTAGATGTATTTCCTGCTTGTGAGTCAACATCAGAAATTTTGCGCATTGAGACCTGGTTCTGTGATGGTGGACGCGCAGTTTCTGGATCGGTAGAGAAAGCATGGATTAGGTGCAGTGATTTAGAGCTGTGTACAACGTAAAGTGATGGAGGTGTTGGATGTCAACCTTTCAAACTGATAAACACTGGGCAAAGCCCAAGGCTGCCCGTTATTTCCTTTTTTCCCCTGAATTTCAGTTGCATGCCTGCTCACGAATTCCGAAGTGCTGATTTTGGAAATGGCTCAAATATCCTTTCCGTGAGAAAAAAAAAAAAACCTATGAAAGATGCGCTCTGAAAATATATCCTTTGGTTTTTCTATTTATCTCACATACAAGAGTTCTCTGGGCAAGTTCTTGGTATGGCCTCTTATAAAATTTGATGCACTTTTAATTTATCCTGCAAACACAATGATGTATGGAAAGTGCATTTTTGAAATGAATTGAGTTAGGATTTAGAAGAAAGACTGAGCACATGTAACCCCATCATAACAGCCCCCCAAACCCACATCTTTGCATTAACATTGCTGGCACATGTCTTGGCATAACAGTCGATCATGATCTACAAGAAGTGGTCTAGTTTCACGCCGACAAACTTTAAAATGGTAAAATCTCAGATGACACAAAGTGTTTTTGTCAATTTTATTCATTACGTTTGAAAATGTATGTACACCCATATAAATACAGGTCTGGTAAATTAAACCATTTAAACTACAGAAGTCTGTGTAATGTAAACTGAGGAAAGTCTCCAGGTTTCCGATCATTTCCAAAGCATTTCTGGTCTGTGTGTCCCTCTCTATTACACTCAAAAGAAAAAAAAAAGCTGGATTCAAATTAGTTCTGGAAGCTGCTATTAACTTTTGCCAGTTCTATATGTTATGTGGGATGGAATATCTCCAAAGTGTTGCCATTTTTAAATAGTTACATGTGCAGTAGCAAGTTACTTTCTTTTTTGGGGGGGGCATTAAGACCTTTGGTCCTTGGGAACTTTTTTGTAGTTCTTGGGCATCTCTTGTATCTAAACAGTCGAGTGCGCATTTGTGCCATACAACAAGTCTTGGTGAGGGGAAAATTGTCCCCAAATACAGAATTTGAGGCTTATTTACAATATTACATGTAGTTATTTTGACCTTTTTTCGTGTAAGTTCACAACAGACCATTGTATATTTTTTTCACAACCTGATGGCACACTGTCAAATGAAAACATCCCATCAACAATAAAAATGTGTAGAGTGTGTACACAAGAATTTTGGAACTTTAAAACTACTCATTCAGCGAGAGGCAGTTTTTCCATGTTGTGAACAGCACACACTCAAATTCCACTCAAATTCAACTACCTGAGAACTTACTCACCAAAATGCAAATTCAACCGACAAAATTTTAAAAAAAGAGGAAATTTCAAAAAGCTTCTGTTGACTATTACTTTTATGTTAAGTACAGCATCATCTAGATATGTCATTTGAAGTGGGAAATGTTTCCCTGGAAATGCATAGCGTCCTTGGTTTGTGTGCCCAAACAACCTGACATGAGTGACCTCTGGTATTTTTTTGCCCAACTCACACCGAAGTCTGTAAACTGGTTTGAAAATGGGTGAAAAACAATGTGAATGCTCCTTTTTCACAGGCATTTGGCGACAATATCAAGGTTTTCTCCCCACTGTTCACTATGGCACACTTTGTGGTCAGACTGTGACCCCCGGTCAAGGGCATGAGATATGGACTTCATCTCAACTGAACCTTGAATTAAAATTTAACCTTCACTCAACACACGCCCATTGGACTGGGTCTGGGCGTTGCTAGAAAACAAGGGGGCCTCATGAAGAAATCGAAGGACCTTAAGGACCTTCATTTATAAGCTGCACTGAGGACTTCATAACCTCATGTGCGTGCCAAGTATTAAACAGAACCTTAAGTGCTGATGCACTTCACTGCACTGACCTTACATACCCAGTGTGGACTTGTGAACAAAAGATGTCCACACGATGCAGGAAAGGGAGATGTTCTGTGGACTTACACATGTCCACGGGACGTTTCTCCTCTGAAAAAGAACTTTAGAAGCATTTTGGGGTAGGGGTCATCTGTCGTAAAAGGGAGAGGAATAGCCAAGGAAACCTTGTACAAAAAGATAGCTGAAAATCGTGTTCCCAGTTCAAGAAAAACAAGTACTGACTATTTTCACCGAGTTTTCTCAACTGCACGAAGAGAAAGGAATGTCCACACTAGGTATGTAAGGTAAGTATGTGTGTTTGTGAGAGTTACAATAGAACCTCATGAATGTTAAGGCCTGCAAATAAGATGCACAACTCCCTAAATTCAATACAAAACAGCTCTTCAAAATTTAATGAGGGCACTCCACTTAACGAGGTTCTGTAAGTTACAGCCTACATGGGTCATCAGAACGTGCCTCAAATAACGCCGTGATAATTATAGCTCCTCGTAACATCATAATTGAATGAAAAAAAATAAAATGGAGATGACTGGATGCAGGGATGAACTGCGTGCCGGCTCTACAGCACTGAAACCCCTCCAAGCAAAACGAGGCACTTAATATTACAAGGAATGAGGCTGTCTGGCACTAATTCTAGTGCGAGTATTGATAACAACTTCCCTGTGTCATTTGCACATGTAAACTTCATGACAGAATGTATCACAGCCTCGCTTAACAGCACATGGGCAACTGGGCTTTCGCTGCAGTTTGTGAGTCAGCCTGAATCCCATGTCAGGACGTTCTATCCTGGGGTCAATATCATAGAGCTGCTTAAGCACAAAATTTTCTTAAGCGCAAAAAAAGCCTTGCTTAAAAAACAAAGGTTACCAGCTCCAACTCTGATTGTCATGCTAACCAAAACACAGCTAAATATGATCCAAACACAATGTACATGTACATCACATGGAATTTTGCCTGGTTACCTAATTTATTAAGCAAGGTTTTCTCGTGCTAAGCAAATTTTGTGCTTAAGCAGCTCTATGAAATTGGCCCCAGTTTAATATCACAGGCTTCTGACGTTCTGTTGACCTTCCAATTGTTAACACTCCGGGCACGGTGTTCAGAAGTGCGTCAACATTTTAAATCTTCTTCCAATCAATCTAAAAGTTTAGCAAGAGTTAACCCTACAAGCAGATCGTAACGAGTAAAAAACCAAGCAGTTGGAAAACGGTTTGAACAATTACGACAAAACATGTACCTGTACATTTTAATGCCACATTTCAAATACGTTTTGATACATCAGTTCCAATTGTACAGCCGTAAAACCCCCATATTTTTAATAACCTTTGGCCGAGTGGACGCAACGCTATCAAATTATTCTTGTCCGATCCACTATGTGCATTCTCGGAAGTCCAAACACTGACATTTCTCATCCAATACGGGCAAACTAGCTACATACTGTACAGAGAAATCGACTGGAGCAGGATTTGAACCTGGGACCTCAGCGACAGATTTCCAGGGTTCTTACCACTTAGTTCGTCAATATCTTTGGTATGTGGGTGCTAGCCACAAGCCAATTTACTCAACATGATGGGAAGTTTCTTTCAGTTTCTGTTCCCTCATAGGACCAGCGATAGAGAGTGCACTAAGTACATTAATGTTTTTCAATGCAAAGAGATTCAGGCTTGGCACTTGGCATGCAGGTGTAGACACTCGCTAGAGGTACGTCTGTGCAGTGTCAATTCAAACTCACACATGGTTTGTTGTTACAGTCATCTGACGTTCATGGCCTCATGCGCGTCAGCCGGGGGGGAATTGATCATGTCAATGGAAAGAGTACACATGCTCGGCTGACCTGTTTTCAGCAAAATGAGCATTTCGTGAGAACGCATGCCCCACTTTCACAGAACTGATGTCAAAAAATGACCGCGCGACATTAATTAAACAACCCTGAAGGTTCAAGCAGGGTAAAAAAAATTCGCTGTAACAATGTCGGAGAAAGTGTGTGTGGGGGGGGGAGATTCTAACACCCCCCCCCTGCTCTTTTAGGACAAAGCCCATGTGAAAGAGGGCCCACTGTATCCCTTTGAATGTGAAAGACGCCAGTCCATTGCCAAACCAAATGGCAATTTTATGCACAGAGCAGATGAACCACTTCTGTCGCGAGTTTTCCAGACCTTGCATTATTTAGGAAAACCCTTTCCCCTGAACGATTCGACTGCAAAATACGCAGCGGGTCAATTTTGCAGGCATTTTTTGGCTATGAACTGATTTCCAATACCTCTGGGATGCTCACTTTTAACCATTGATATCTAAATTACATATTCATTAGTTGTTACAATTTATTCATTACATCACTTCAATCATCCAATCTTCACATGGAAGCATGTCAACAATGCTTGAATGTTGTTCAATATTTTAACTTCTTCTTTTACATATTCATGTTACTCGTGGGTTATTCATCAGTGGTCTCCTTGTCCCGTTTCGATTAGAAAGTCGCTGAATGCTTTCTGGATTTCAGCATCAAGCTCATCAAGGTCGTCGGCGTAGCTGCAAGGAACGATGAAAAGAATGGTTTAGATCCACTGCCCCCACCCGATATGCCACTGCTTTTCATCTGATCAAAGCCGAAAATACTGACAACTTGTCCTTCTCGATTTTGCAGATCTTCGAGAATAAAGATATGAATATTCCACAATCGATCAAAATACCCAAATATGCGACTCATCGGCAGAGCAGTAGTTCAGGTGCAGATGTACATGTACGAAGTGTGGGGGTACAGTAATCCCAATCATTTAAGTTTTGTATCTACAGTGATGACATTATGCCACTGTCGCTCAGTGCTGTGTCTTTTCTTTATGACCCGGACTCACTCAAGTTCTGCAGCGGGCTCCTGCTGGTAGTGACTAGGATCCCAGTCGTACTCGGCGTACGGGTCGGCCGTTGATGACGGCGCGTAGTCGGTGTAGGGGTCAGCCGAGCCGTCGTCTTCCGTAGTCTGGTAATACGCCCAGTTCTCCAAATCACCGTCATACTCATCTCCGAAGCCTTCAAGAAAATGCAGAAAAGAAGCAAATTTGATGTAAAAATTCATCCAAGGCTTCAAGAAAAATGAAAAAAAAAAAAATCATGTATCTCTCTACTTTTCAGTACTGACCTCATAAAGAGGGCAACGCCAACATTTCAACCCTAACTGTCAATCCCCCAAACAAGTGATGGACCAAGGACTGTTTGGTTTAAGTAGTGCTGGGCTCATCTAGACCTAAGGTCATGAGGAGAATCTTGTGGTGAATAAGACTCATTTTACTCCTTCAAGTGACCACTGCCTCTGCTACAAGACGGATTACACTGTGACATTTCATCGGTTGAAAACTGTTTCAGTGATGTATTTCCGACGTTTATGACCGATGAACTCGGTCGAAGACATCCCCAATACATCCCTTCTTGTTGCCCGAGGTACCACTTGACCCCCCAAGCGTGCCGAACCTCCCCAGACCACACCAAAGCAGGTGGCCAGTGTGTAATGGGACGTACCTGCCTCGGCCGCTGAGATGACTTTACCCTGTGAATCATAGAATACTGGCTGGTTCTGTTGAAGAAAATATAAATGTAAGATGATAGAGAATTGCCAATCTCTCAATAGAGTGCCGAAGTGGATATGTCCCGTGCACAATTAGTGTGTAAAAGGCATTAGTGCGAGAACCAGCGCGTGAACCAGCACGCGCGCGTACTCCCTTCGTTTGCACTGCACTTTCTGGTTCACAGTGACGTCACACTTCGGTACTCTGTGGCCGTACATCTGATGTAACAACTGTGTGCTGTCTGCACATGGTGAAATAAAAATTTTGCTTCCATTTACACAGCACCTGAAATAGGTGTAGGTAGGGTGGGTTGGGTGTGTGGGTGGTTCGATGGGTTGGAGGGTGAAGTTGTGGGTGGTTGAGTGGGTGGTGGGTTCGTGCATGCATGGGTGGATGGGTGCATGGGTAGGTAAGATTTGTTTGTCACTCTTTTGTTGACACTGATTCAGTGCGTAGCTATCTATGACTGGTTAAAAAATGCAAGAGAGGTCAAATGGCACTTGTTACACTCGGAAGGGTCCTCACTGCGTGCCTGAGTAAGTCCGTCAAGTCTTCTGGGACCACATTCCCACTACAGCAGACAATAGTAGAGATAAGCAACATCGCTACCATTTTGACTTACGCTGAACATGGCAGGTGCGGTGTCTCCACCGCCCGACATGTAACCGCTGCTGCCAGCAGGTGGCGGGGCCGTGGTGCTACCGCTGTAGGATGCCCCACTGCCTTGCCCCCACCGCTTCGCCCGCAGCTCAATTAGCTGCAGCCACAGCTCCCGCACGTTCCTGGAGGGGGAAACGATGAACCACATCAACGAATGCCTCTGGCAAAAACATGCAAACTGTTCTACGAAAACAAACGTCTGACGGCGCCGGATCTTTTCCGCGAGAAAGTCTTGCTCTTCTTCAAGTGGGAACTTTCCGTTACAGGAAACAAGAAATAGGCTTCTATTTCCCGACAGACTTTGAAATAATAAATTAACAGCTGGAATTTTGATAACCCTTCACACAGACCAACCGTGGGGATAGTCTGTTCCATGAAACTAAACACTGGCAACTGACACGGCATTCTATTCTGTCGTTGAAATGGAACAGGGCAAAATGCATGCATCTGATTTCTGAGTGAATGTAAGCACCATCTAAAGAGCAGCCACGACATACAAGCTTGAATGCTTGCTTTTTCGTTTTTTTTCAATGCACATAAAGTCACTTACTTGTCGACGGCCTGATTCGTGACGTACTGTCTGGCTTTCAGGAATATTTTGCTCAGCTGTTCAGAACTCGTCTTGTTGTTCTGCTCCCTGTCGTAATCTTCAATTTCTTTCCCTGAGAGCTGAGAGAATTTTTCAGAGACACATTATCCTACCTGAACTCATTTGGAAACTCAAGAATGCACGCTCAAAATTTAACTACAAATGTTCTGACCGGTGGAGCACAGAGTAACTAAGTGAATACGTCACGTGCAAAAATTACATGTGTAAAAGGCATTAGGGTGAGAACCAGCGCATCCCACCGTGCGCGCGTATTCCATTCGGCTGCACAATGACATCATATGCTGCTGCTCAACATAACCCTTACTTTGATAAGATTTTAAGTTTGACTACAATGCCTGGGCTAAGGTGCGGGCATTGGACTGTTTGATGATCACTCTCCATAATACTTGGGAAATGCCTAGTTTCTTTCTCTCAACCAACTTCACAATCGTTGCAAAATCTTGGTCAGTTGGTCGAGGCCTTTGTCAGGCGGGTTGGTTTACCAGCCTCCCCCATAAAAAATCTCAAACATGCCCACTCCCCCCCCCCCCGTGAAAATTTTACGATCCCCTGAAGCGTTTGACATCAATTAAGACAATCCTTTCCCTGGTCATACCTTTAGAAGTAGGCCGAGACATTTCAGGTTTTCGTCGCTGGCACTGTTAAGTAGAGTGTCCATGAGCTCACTCAGAGCTACACGGTATACATCTATCCTCTGGGGTCCCTTTGCTTCTGGCACATGAACCTGCAAAGCACAAGAAATGTCCCATTTTAAACATGCCTGAAATGCCACTGCATAATACAGACACGTTGGTTAAGCTCAATGAAAACTTCAGTCTCATTGTATGCACCGTTGACTCGTCATGGGGACATTCACAGCGACGGAATATGACAGACATGTGGCAATTACTGCACAAAGATAAGCCACTGGGATGCCTCTGCAGAGACGGAATTGACAGGGGGACAAGAGGGAGCCTGGGAGAGGTGCTGAAGGAGTTGGGAGGGGGGGGAGTACTGCACGCCGTGAAGGTCGTACCTCTGATATGAGAAACAACTCGGCGAGGAACATGGTGGCCCCGTGTAACCTTGTCAGCTTGTTGGGGTCCCTGGCCATGGCTTCTCTGCTTTCAACAGCCTCTTTGACTCTGTCGAAAAATGCAAAAAAAGATGCTGCCAGACTGGAAATGAACAAGGCATGACTTGGTCCAGCCTGGCTATCCTTTGCAGCAGTGTTGCAGTCTGGACCGCGGCGCCAGCCGATACAAGACCAGACACTACACAAGTCACATGCGACAGGGTGAGCAATGGCAAAGGAATGATTTGGGTTCCAACAGAGGGTTTTCGTGGCTGTCATCTTGCAGACAGGTGCTTTTGTTCCACAGGGTATGCACAAAGGCAGTTTCCCTGTGGAACAAAACAACTGCCCTGCAAGATGGCTACCATGCAAAGCCTCTCTTCACTTGAATAGCTTGTGACTTGAATTCAGATAGAAGGTCTTGAGCTGGTCTTGTGAGGTTTTGCTAGGGTCCTCATTACAACAATGCTTAATGGCAATAAAAGTTGAGTCCTTGTCCAAGTCCGCATGCAAGTAGACTTCAGATACAAGGCAGTCTAGTATGAAGGAATCACGAATAAGTACCAAGGTTATTGCATATGGAGTATTTTCAACAATATGAGCATTTGAGTGCACAGATTGCTATAGCTGCAACGAACACTGAAGAATCAGATTTGAATCAAGTTTTTTTTCCCCTCTTCACCAAGAGATGTACACGAGGATACTGGCGCGACTTGAGGAAAAGGTTGGACAAGGCTGGTACCCTGGCTTCATGTTCTGCCGAGGATGCGACGAAATGGATGTCGGGAGCATCGTCAGCACGCGTGAAATGTTGCGATTGGGAGCAATGGAAGGAACAACACGGACATGCTCCTAATGAGGAATGTGCGCCCATGTAATAATCTGGGACGTCATAGGCGTACCTTTGATTAATATGGCTACGGAATTTGGTAATGGCTGGTGGAAGTTCTAGGTGGGAGATGAGGTAGTCACAGGCCCTTGCACCGGTGTATCTGAAGTTGGGCTCCAGCACAGACTACAGACAAGCAAAACAGTTAAAAATCTTCACATTAAATTTAACAATTCGGACCGATCTGTTTTCTGTTACTGTCTTGCAACTACCGAACAGCTTGGGACTTGGCAGTTCCAGCTTCTAGACTGGTTTAGAGTTATAAAATATGCAAAATGTAACTATCGAAATAAGGCCAACGCCTTACCGCTGTGTTCCTGAGCTCGGACATCGTCCCTCACATTTTTGTGCACATTTGGTCGAAAATTAATCGTGTACACATTCAGTTGAAAATAAAATTTGCCGTGTGCACTCCAAGTCCAAAACAACAGTGTCCACATTGAGTCACTTGGTCAACGCAAGAAACGTTACAACTGCAATATAAGTCTGCACTTGCGGAAGCCTGGTCAGGGGTGAGATTTGTCCGGAGTTTTGGCAAAAATGTATTCAGCACTTACAGATTTTTCTGTCTGGCACTAAACTGCCAGATCTGGAAGTAGTATTTTCCAAATTTTTCACAAAAGTAAATGCAGGACTCTTGTGTTTAATGTTACTCCCCCTGGAATGAAACAGAATTCTACTGAACAGTGGGGGTATAAGGTGTTGAACTGTAAGAACTCGGCATCACTTGTAAAAAACTGGACATGTACTATGCATTGCTACTGGCCGCATTTATGGAAAACTCGGGCACCATGAAATGTTTGCGATATGATCGATCGTGGTGGAGATCTTTGACTTGATAAAGGCTTGAAAAATCCATGGAAATTTTAGCGGCTCCAAAGTCAGGTGGAAAAAGAGGCAAGCAATGAGAAGACAAATATTAGGCCAAGGAAAAAAAGCGATGCTTCCGATTACATGCCTCTCAAAAATAGGGAACGTAGGTTGGAGATACTTTGGGGGGTACTTTTTTGTGCTGACTGAATGGGGATGAAAACTAGCAAAAACAAAAAGGCAAATTTTTCTAGGTTTGTTAATTTCCTCAAATCTTGCACCTGTTTTGCCACCGGCCAGTGCACCAGTGCACCTGTTTAGCCACAGCCCGAGTATTTGGGCACAGCCCTTTTTACCTGCTCAAAAATGATGTCGGCTATGAGGCCTAAATCTTTGTTGGACCTGACGGCTGCGTTGAGGTGCTCCACCATAGACTTCATGTAGTCTTCAAACAACCCCGGGCTAACACTGAGACTGAACAGTACGTCCTTCACCATGGTGACAAAATCCGGCTCTGTGCTGCTGTTAAAATATGGGGGCTAAAACCAGACCCCAAAAAAACACAAAACAAATGGAGCAAGTCTGAGTGACAGACTATCATTGAATACAGTTTGACCAACACCGCCCAAAAAGGTGGATAGTTGGCCAATCTAGTTTACCGTTTGGATAGGGAAAGTGACACGACAATTTGTTCACGTTAACAGAGGGATATGTCTTGTGCGTCAAACAAAAAAAGTAATTAGCAGGAGAGCAACTCGAACCATGTAACAATAAATGAGACACTAGTCCCTAAGATGAAGGAGCTGACAGACTTGGGGGTCAAACAAACCAGTAACGCGAAGTCGGATAAGTTTCTCGTCTTTGTTTTTTCAAGAAGATTGTGGGCAATTTTCTTTGAGGAGGGTGTGGAATTTTCAAAGATTGTGGATAGGCTTTCACGACTCTCTTTGAGAACTTTTTACCATATCCGACAAGTTTGCATTTTGAGTTGATAAGCATTTTGTTACAAATACCTAAAAAGTCAGAATACATTCCAAATGTACCCACACAAAAACTTTAAAAAAAGGCACTCGTGAAAAAGCAGGCAGGAACGAGAAAACGTGTTATCATTTTACCCAGCCTTTTCACTGACTGACCTGTTCGCTACCATTGGACCACTGCTGCGGCTGTGGTGCGGGGGCACCATTGACCCCTGGCCAAGGCTTGCCTGGCACAAACTCGGCAGGTCCAGAGTCAGACCACTGCTGCTGAGGCTGGGCAGGGTGACCCTCCCAGGCTGTCCCCGGCACAAAGGCTGGTGCGTCGGCAGATAAAGATTTCATTTTCGTAGTGATTTGATCATCATAAAAGTTATCCCTACATCTGCACGCAAAAAAAAAGAATCAATGAAAAAGTTTAACATTTGTTTAAAATCTTTCAGAGGTACTTAAGAAATGGAAAAAAAAACCAAAAGACGGAAACTTTCAATTATAAATGCCATAACTTTAGAGTCTAGTGAAAACACATTCAGAACTTTGCAACAACTTATTTAGATAAACTTTTAAAAGTGCCTGTGTGGTTTTTTGGTTGCATCCAAAACTAATGGCACAAACTTTGTAAACAACCAATAAAGTAGAGCTTAACCGGTTGACTCAACAAATTCTAGTGAACAGCAACATTTGTTCTGCTTTTAAATCATGATAAATTTCATCATCAGTGTGATTTAGGTTAAAATAACCAGGAATCCTTAATCTTTAGGACCCTTCTGTTGTATAGCATATGCATACATCCGTATTTGCCAGAATTGACAAAAACTTCCTATTTTTTAGCAACAGCGTCCATAAAAATGAATCCTTGTCAAGTCATTCGGGGAGTAAAGACTTTCATACACTGAAAACATAATTTTAGACTTGGTGATTCACATCTTATGACCTGATTTAAAAATGAGTTAAACAAAACATGGAGGGGTTCTTCAAGTCGGGATTAACCACTTCTGCCGGGCATTCCGGATAACGTATGCTTTATATGCGAGGCCGGGGTCTACGAACTCGGACAAAGGAAACACGGCCTTGTAACCAAAGACCGTACTCAGAACAAAAGACCTGGCTGCTGGGAATTACTGACATTTTTTCACTCTCAATAGTGGAGACAATCCAACCTTGTTTCGAAACAGAATACCACGTTTTGGGGCATTTAGAGCAAGCAGATTACCATGGAGGACAAGGCACTCTACCACCACCACTACTACTACTGAAAAGAGGTCAGCAGCCCACTGCGCCAGGTTCGTGAATAAAAGAAAATTCTATAACACTGCACAATCTGGGCTCTTTTTACAAGGCTGCAGGCCTGGCTGAAATACTCAGGCGTCAATAGATGTTTTTCTGTCAGGTTAGAGTGGACACCAGACAGTCCTTCACGTGTTTGTAAGTGTCCAGTACAGATAGGAATAGGAAGATAGGAATTTCAAACGAATTTTGAAAACAGAAAAAAATGATAAATATCCCACCCTAGCATCATCAACACCGAATAACTGCCCCAGCAGGAAGTGGTTAACAATCATCCAAAAATCCTGAGTCTGGGAACCTCAGTAAATGGTGGTGGCCACACAGCAGTCATTGTAGGCTTGACTCAAGTTGGGATCTTCCATGATGTTGTCTGCATTTATGCTTTGGATGTTGAGGCCGCGCGCCGTTACTTGCTTCACGCCCTCTTGTTTTCACTTATTACATGTACTGTGAGTAGTCAGAAATCCCGACTTGAACAAATCTGCCAACTGTTTGTACACAGTGAATCAGCTCATCTACCAAAACAGGTAGCAGCCAATCAAATTGCCGGACTTGTTTTTACATCTTTCATACCTCTATAATAATGAACGAGTCTACAAGTCTGACAGCTTTGATTGGTGAAAATTCCGTATACATTATGCAATTATGAATAACCACATATCACCGACGGGACTTATGGTTGAATTATCCGGATATCGCAGAAAAGCTATCAAACGAGGGCGCCTTAAAGCAGTTATGTGAGCGGCTGAGTGTGATGACTGTGTACTGTGTATGTGATGAAGGGATGGCGGACTGGGGAAGAGCAACACAAGTCCGACTTGATTCAAGTTTACAGTTATTGCAAAACATGTAAATAATGACAGTCACTAGAATTTTCAATTTGGTGGACCAAGCCTAGGCTAGGGGCCTAGGGCCTACTTAGAAAAAGTTCAAAGAAGTTCTATACATTGATATTTTGGGAAGAGTTTCAAACTCCGCTTGACACCCTGTGCAGAAACCCTATAACATTGTCTGAAAAATTCAAAAAGTGTGTTCTATTTGAATACCTCAAATTTTCCTTGCTAACTTTTTGAGACATTTTATTGATTTCAGATGGCCAAATTAGTATTGGTCTTAGTCACTAGGCCTACAGAGAAACATTGGTGGCGTCTGTAGGGTTAATAATCATGATAATTGAATTCTTTCCCACACATGACACACTGACTTATGCCTACAATATCGAGTAACAGTGCCACCCTAGTGCAGAAACACATATGTGTCTCGGTCTTTTCTTAGACAACATGGGCCTGGGCCTAACACATGGTGAAGGCTAAATCTTGGGCCCAGATTTTTTCTGCTGAATTTCACTTTTTAGCATGGCACTGAGGCCTGGGGCTTTTTGATGGCCGATAATACCACTGTAGACATGGCAGAGAAAATTCGTTTTTTGTCCGTCTGTGGAACTATTTCTAAACTTCAATCTCTCTGAGAAAAAAATCTCGACTTCTCGGCGTAAGCACTGTCCCAATTTATCGACAGTCCTTTTGTATGGCAAGGTGCAAAAGGATGTAAACAAAAATGGCCACCATCTGACCACAGGCCTTCACAAATTTCGACACATAGACTTCGACAAAACTGCCGAAGATAACTCCATAACTACACTTCAATTAGGCCACCCATGTCTGAACAGTGTATTGTCTCTCCTCGTGTTCAATTTCAATCAGAAGAGACATGAGAAAACCCAAAGACTTTTCTTTATTTCTGAGAACAACAAAGACTCACCATTCACTGTCATTCGGCACATAAATCAACTCACGTCATTTACAATGACTGGCTCGTCCCCGGCCGTTTTCACTTTGTTCTCGATGATGTGAACAGTGTTAATATACTAGCATTCGAGGTTGAATTTACCATCGCTTTGCTAGTGCGTCCATCAAAGGCACACCAAGCAGCCTGGGCTATGCCTTTGGAGTATTTCATTAAAAAGTAAATAAATTCCATAACAATTCAATAGTAAACCAACTGAAATGATTAATTTGATTGTGAGAACTTCTAACAGAGTCTCGGGTTGTCAGTTTTAGTTTACCCACTTTATAATAGGACCTACCCCAAAAGTTTACTTCACTGGGCGTCCGGTCGCCGACAAAGAAAAATTAATGATTACTATAGTGATAACGTTTGGTGCATGATCGTTTCGGATTTCCTTTTTGAAGTTTTCGTCACTTTTTTGTGCGGTATCCCGGCCGAGAACCTTCAAACAGAGTGCACCCACAGGACCAGCCCTTGTACAGTTTAATAGGGGCTGGGTTTTTGCCGGGCAAACTTTGTAGCGATGACTGAGGGTGGACGAGGCGAGGGTGGGGAACGGGCATTCATTGCTTTCCCCGTCATGCTCCACGCATTCTCTTTGATTTTGCCCCGTCTTATCATATTTTAACTAATTCTTTCACTATATATGGGATTTCTGTTTTGGGGATATACAATATAGTCATCATCGGCAGTGGCATAACTGGGGTCAAACACACGCTACAACTGCATATATCGCTGTATACAGCTGAACAGAAACAGATGTTTTTGCTCGACATGAAAACTGATGGAAAAGAATTTAAACTGTATTTATATTCAAAGAAGGGGAAATAATGGAAAGACTACGAGCGCCGTTGTTTGACGGAGAAAAAACGCTGCTGTTTTCCTGACATAAATTGCATTTGTGGTTTCAGGGTCTCCAAAATGACAAAGGGTGGATCCAGGGAGCTAAGAGGGCCACCCCCTCGGCCTTTTTTGAAAAATAATCTGAGAATGTGACTTTTGGGTCTTTGTGACTACCCTCGTTTTCAAAAGCACTGAAAAAGCCCCCAAATGTAGCCCCACCCTTAGAAAGGCAATAAAGAATACATAAAAAGAAAATCCAAACTGTTGGCCTTCAAAAAGCAAGCCCCTCACCCCAAAAAATAATGATTCTAGATCCACCCTTGAAGAAGATACCGATTTTGGACTTCAGCGATATTATTAGGATTTAACACAAATGTTCATTGATCGTTCGATAGATCCTAAAACTAATATTTTCATTTTTACCTTTTTGTTAATGTTTTGGATTGTGAAATAAAAACACCACTGTACAACTGTGTGTCTCAGTCAATACGCCTGGCTTGTTTGAAATTAGATTACTTTGTTTTAATAAATGCAGGGAATGCTTTGAGCCTATGAAACAAACTTAACAATGCCCACTTTGCACCATACTGAAATCATTCAGAGCTGAACTGCTATATTTTGATCATAAATAAGTACTCCAAATCAACATGGCCATAATGAAGTTATTTTCACCAACTGAGTTTGAAACATGTATTGAAACAAATACCATGACTCAAGTGACCCTTTTTTGTGGACAACTCACAAACTCAATTTAAACTCGGCCCACATATGACTGTGCACAATTACTGTTTTGGTTAAATTTGAACAAAACAAGAACAATTATCTAATTTGCATTAAGTCTACAAAGACGCATGCTACGGTAACATGCTCCATGCTTACTCTCCTCGTTGCAAAAGTCTATCGCAACTCTGGAAGTACTTTTGGCGACGGCCGAAAATCCAGTCCAACACAAGGGTACCACATGCCATCCAACCACAGCACCCACTTTATATGTCAAAAGTAAGATATCAAAAAACAAAACACATACTTTGACGGAGCTGGTTTCCAGAAGACAACCCATCCAAAACTACTGCAGTGACAATCAGTCTAATCCCCGTTTTACAAAACAATCTCTAAAAACTTCCATTAGGCTCAACATTACAAATGTCTAGTGGAAACTTGGGCCTCAAAGAACACTGCGTGGTTTGAGGAAATGAAACGGACAAGACGAAAATGCTCCGACTGGGTTACACCAAGTGTATCCGCAATTTGCTTTTAAATAAAAAACCCTTACAAAAATCAAAAGCTTAATATTTGATGACATCTTAAGACACTTCCCGATGTTAATCACGTTACTCCTCTTTGGAAATATACCATTCTCATTTTCTTAAAACGTAGAGCAATTCAAATACATAACACATTACTGTCCCTAATCCTGTGTCTACCCTCGCCTCCAGTTTCACCTTGAGAAAATTCCATACGCTTTACCGTGTAAACATTACTACAAGTGGCTAGCTACCACATACATCACATTTTGAGCCTATGCCGTTATGACTATTGCATTGATCCTGATTCTCTAATTCATTCCCTGTGGCAAAAGCTGGCACATCAGCCTGACTCACAAAAATGACGTCCCAAGAGCGAGATTTCAACAAATGACTGTGACATGACCCTGGAAATGCAGCGGTTTACGACCTTTTAATTTTTTTCTTTTTTAAGCATAAACCAAAAAAAAACATTTCAAGTCGTCATCCTGCAAGCAGCATCACTTGGCAGGATTTTTCGATGAGACGCGAGTTTCAACTGAATGATTTTACAAAATGAAAAAGCTTAATATGCTCCTCTTAAAAACTGCACGTGAGTGTTGATCGACTACAAACCAGGTTTTGATTTATTCAGCCCCCTTTGCACAGACTCAATGACAGAACGACGACAACAACACTACTCCGGCTGATATTGCCATGGCAACAATGGTGTCATACATCTAGCACCCCGTCTTCTTTGTCCTGATCCTTGTCCCCGTCATAGAACTCATTCGCAGGCTCAATCCTACACAATGCAAAACACATATATTAAGAGCATGTCAGCTACTGAATATGGTGATTTTACTAAGAGGAATGAGTAGCGTCCACATTACCCGGCTATGGCTACAAATCGTACATGGGCCAATGGAAGCCGTTAGTAAGCATTAGTAAGTTGACCATTTCAGTTAAAAAGTGAATTCTCTGAAGCTGACGTTTAATCTAATACTGTACTGTGAATCCTTGCTTTTGTAACATGGCTGGCAAAGCAGGTGCGGCGTTCAGTCCATTCGGTTTCCTTTGGAAATAATTTTCCTCTCAGGTTTATTTAGAATGCATCAGTTTCCTCACAATGTAGAGCTTTTCCACGAGGCGCTCTTTTCACATGAGTTTAAATTGGTAAGAGTTATCCGCAATCCTTTAGTCAGTGGTCAGACGGAGATCTTGTCTCACCTCTCGTCTTGCTCCTTGGTGCTGTTCCTGACATCGGGGTCGGCTTCCTCCGTTTCCTCCAGGCTGAGGAGGTCGGGCGGCACGTCCTGCATCTGAACACTCGGAGCGTGCTCTATACATTTGAGATTCTCTTGTACTGTCTGCCTGACTTGGTCTATGTACTAGAGATGCAGCCACAGGGAAAAATAACAGTGATTGACTAAGGTATACGTGGCACAACGCTCACAAATAGATGGTCCAAGCATGTATACATGCCTTCATTGTACAAAATATGTGTAAGAGTGGGGTGCCACTGTAGAAATGGAGTATCAGCTCATAAGCCTATAGAGTAAATTCCTTCCAGTTACAATAAATATCGTAATACGAACCACACGTTATTGGTAGCGCTACGAAATTCACGCAATTTCTGCATAAAGTACGAGCCCACCCAACTTCAAACCGCACACGACGATCTTACCTGCTTTGTGTTGAGGTTCTCGATTCGAGTCGTCGTGTCGGGATGCAATGTGAAATCCGGGCCGAAGTATTCAAAGTAATCTGCAAAATGGATTCAGAAGCATAGATCTTCTTTCAAAACACTGCAGAATGTTGGTAAACTGTAATCGATTTATAAATGCTTACACAGCGTAAACTGTCTAGTGGGTGAAGACATTTTTCTCGTCTACTCACCGTTATATGGAAGATCATTGCTTATGTCTTCATCTAGTAGAAGCGCCGTCTCAAATGTCCTGAGATCAAATTCAATCAGAAACAACAGAGAGGGAATAACAACGATGGGCCAACGGCAAATTCCCAGCTACACCTGCAGAGACAAAGTGTGCTGGCCCTGCAGGAATACTGCTACTAGGTGTAACAAACCCTTTTATTTTGTCAGTGAAGCCTGTCAGTTGACAGAAGGCTATAGGGTAATGAAAAGGTGCGACTGAACTGTCTTGTAAGGATAAACAAACCTAAATAACACTTGACTGCCCTGAATGAAATTTCACTTGAATAGGCCAATCAGGGGATGACAATAAGAAGCCATTAATACTACGGCGTCACTAAGCTTAGCTCACAAGCAGGTGGTATGCACACACTGAACTCGCCTTTGACTTGACGCACGCACATGCACCTCAAGTCTGACAATGTGCGCATGATTAAATGTATGTGTCAATCTTTACAAGACTTTGTACAATGTTTTCAATTTTCAATGGTGTGAATGTGAAGTAAAGAACAAGGAAATCAGCTGGTCCGAGGACAAGTTGCACACCTGTGTGCCAACGGAAAAATGGCGTCTGTTTGGATCAGGCAGGCAGCCGGCCAGCACGTGCATGGTGACAGTATGCTATCTGAAGTTGGGCAAAGCTTGTAAACGGATTATTGAACGAGGACGAATGCCTTACGGCAGAGAACACAGCAAGCATCGGAGTAATTAAACACCATAATTTATCATGGCTGAGCAATGGTGTTGACAATGTTGTTGCATGGGACATGTGGCTGAGTGGTTTAGGCTTTGATCAGAGGATTGGGGAGGGGGAAGGGAAGTCACTTTATTCCTATTTGCCTGTCTCCTACCAGGAGAACAAATGGGTGCTCGCAAGGGCAGATATGGGCGCTGCATTACCATTTGCACCTGAAATAGCAGTATCAAGCTGTACGCTCCCCAGGGAGCTGAGATGGTATCAGGAATGTTCACGTCTTGTGAGCTTGATAAGCAGGGGTAACGATAAAACATCGACACCATCGAATGACACAAACACTCCGATACCCTGTGCCTTCTAAATGCTGTGATACTGTTAATACTAAGATTTGAAGTGATTTTAGTTGAGGGTAAATCCAAGAAAGTACATAAATTGAGCACTGGAGAAAATCTTTTCCACCGATGCACGAGTACGTACCAGCAGCGGGCGACATTCCGGACGGTGTAGCCTCCTCCGCCCAGCACCAGGGTGGGGACGTTGAACGTCTTGACGAATTTGACGCACTCGCCATGGCCCTTGATGCTGAGGTTGAAGCAGCCCAGCCGATCGCAACCCAGGGAGTCCGCTCCACACTGCCAAAGGGGAAGACATCCACAGTTGTATCACTCAGATTAAACTATTCAGTTCAGCGGCCAAAAAGTCCGAGAGCTGGTCAATATCCGAGCAGAACCTAAATCAAGTCTAAGGTGACAAGATTTTTAAGAAAGAGTCTACTCGAAAAAGTTAGAGGGCCTGACATTTCAATTCTGGCAGAATCTTTGAAAACGGTTTTGAGAAAAATTCTACTGAATTGAAACATCACTCCCTCTAACTTGGTTGATTTGTGAATTTTAGGTCACTATATCCAGCAAGCAGCTTGCAATAGCTTTTGCATTTTATATTTCTAAAACTTTTCGAGGGAGGACGACGTTTGTACTTATCCGCATTTAGCAACGGTGAAACGAAGCGCCTGTTTGTTTCACACGGATCTCGATCAGTGATCCCAAAGCTGATTTGCTCTATCCACTACATGGGTTCTGGTGTCAGTGAACCAACACCGAATCACAGATCGCAAACCGGATCCGCGGCAAACAAACAGGCCCGTAGTTACCGATGTTGACCCACGTAAAAAAGACCTGTTCGGGAGATGAACACTTGGGGTACATGGTATTGGGGATCGTTCCGACTGGTGCCAAAGGACAACTGACCCTTGACTCCGGCTCAATGGTTTTTACCTGTAGGACGATACAGCTTGGTCGGTAGTACTCCATCACACTCTGGATGACCGGCTTGAAGAGGCCAAAGTACATCTGGTCGTCAATGCCATCCTTGAGGGGGACGTTGATGGAGTAGTACCGTCCACTCTCCATGCCGATCTCATACATGTCGCCTTGGAAACAAAGGGGCAAAATCCGTCAAACAGCAGCTGTTCCACTCAATATACAACTGAATATCAATGAATACCTAAGACACGAATATTCAAATTTACATTAGCATTAAATCCAGAAGATTTCCCACAATGCATCGACGCCCACAAAGTTGGCATTTAAAATCCACTGCTGTTACACTTGGCAGGCAAAAAAAGGGAGAAAACCTGTGAATGTTAGGAAAATGAAATCACATTTACTAATTGCTTTGTGTTGTTCAAACTTAAGGTTGGGCTCTGTCTAAAACTGTTTTCATTGTTCCAAAACAGCATGTACATTGACAGTTCTGTCAAGAGGTATATCTCGGGATATCAAGTTTAAAATGACGCCTGTCAAACTTGAAAAAGTAACATCAATTACTGATTTCATTGTAACTTTTGTAGAGCAAGCAAGACGACGATAAGAACCAACTCAAGCGTGTGTCTTGAAGGATCGCAATGGAAATGCCACATGACATATATATTCCCAGACACTTCATGGTAAATTTGTTCATTCTAGACTTTGTCCAAAAGTTGTGGCTAAGGCTGAGGTTAACACATATTACTAAAGAAGCCGAGGGCTCAACGGCTGCAAATATTTCCCATATACCATGTGTTTCTCTTAGCCATAGCCTGTCTTTCGGACACGGCCTTACCTGTGCCGGGGAAGAAGTGGTTTCCATATTTGTGGAAGGAGACGGTCATGACTCGGTCTGTGAGATAGAAAGCCTCTTGTACGCCGTCGCCGTGGTGGATGTCAATATCTATGTACAATACGCGTGGATGGTATCTGTTGAAGCGAATGTCGGGAAAAAGCGTTTAAAAATTGATCAGTCCCTGCATCACTCGAGGCTTTGTTTCCAAGCTTCAAACAGTGCAATAAAAGCCCTTCAGCAGCTCAGAGCATCTGCATGTACATGTATGAGTCCTTCGGTGCTGACTGGTTGTCTGTGGTCAAACCACCAACAAAAATCAACATATCACTGTATCTTGATTCCACAGAACACATTGAACACTATTTTCATGTCGTGTTACTGATAAACGTACAGGAATTATGCATTGACCAAACAGCATCAATCCAATGACCGCCACATACACGTACTGGTGCATGGCCCTGAGTTCATCTCGTGTTTTAGAACTACCTGGAACTTTCCCAATTCCACAAGGAAGGAAAATACTCTAAAGAGACCAGTCAGTTGCCGGATTTTCAATCAGTAGGAATGGCTAAACTGTCTCAGGTATTTAGGACGACAGGATGTTGGGGCATGTGTCCCATTAAATATGCATAGACTTACTTCAGTAACTCAAGGATGGCAATGACAATATCGTTAACGTAGCAAAAACCTGAAGCCTCAAACTTTTTGGCATGGTGTAAGCCTCCAGCCCAGTTGATTGCTATATCACACAGCTGAAACAACAACCAGACGAATCACTTCATTAACATGTACACATGAATATTCATATAATATTCATTATCTCTAAGTATGAAATAGATGCAACTCATCACGTGGGTTATTCTATAAATTAGGGTCCAATTTTTTTGTGTCCCGGTCACATCTAGCATTTGATTTTATAAGTTCAGAACACATTTTCTAAATTCCAAGAGTGATGAATTAATGCAAATTATCCTGCCAAACAAACAGAAAGTTTGAAATCAATTTCAGTAATATTTCCGTGTCAAATAACAAAAGTCAGATGTAACAGGGACAAAAATATCCCACTTTTGGACCCTATTTATAGAATGACCCATATACTGAATAATTCAATGCCATGTGATCATCGACCCACCAATCTGATGTTGGGGATTTATTCAGGTGTAGTGTCATGACTTACATTGTTGTTGAGTTTTGTAGTTCCTTCGAGCGATGCCCCCGTGTACATGGAACAGAAGTCGAACAGACCGGGAAAGACCGGGCAATCGTCGCCCACGTTGTAATGGCTAAGATGCTTGGTGAATGTCTGTAGGTTCTGCGGGGTGACCCTCTGTAAGAAGTCGATGTAGTCCTCCGAATGGAAGCGACACATGTCGTGCATGTTGGCCTTGTAAGGCCGGTATACCTGCGTGCGCATAATAAGAGAGATAGGTAAAATCGCTTGACATTACGACTGACCAACGTCCACTCCGGGCAGCGGAATCCCCCTGATGAGCTATTTTCCAAATTTTTATAGAGAAAATTGAAAATCCCAACACTGTTACATCTGACCTTTGTTATTTGACATGGAAATACCACCAGAATTGATTTCAAACAATTACTATTTGTTTGGCAGGTAATTTGCATTAATTCATCACTCTTGGAAATTAGAAAATGTGTTCTGAACTTACAAAATCATATGCCACATCTGACAGGGACACAAAAAAATAGACCCCTAATTTCTGGAATTACCCCTCTGACGAAAAGTCACTNGTGTGATCATCGACCCACCAATCTGATGTTGGGGATTTATTCAGGTGTCGTGTCATGACTTACATTGTTGTTGAGTTTTGTGGTTCCTTCGAGCGATGCCCCCGTGTACATGGAACAGAAGTCGAACAGACCGGGAAAGACCGGGCAATCGTCGCCCACGTTGTAATGGCTAAGATGCTTGGTGAATGTCTGTAGGTTCTGCGGGGTGACCCTCTGTAAGAAGTCGATGTAGTCCTCCGAATGGAAGCGACACATGTCGTGCATGTTGGCCTTGTAAGGCCGGTATACCTGCGTGCACATAATAAGAGAGATAGGTAAAATCGCTTGACATTACGACTGACCAACGTCCACTCCGGGCAGCGGAATCCCCCTGATGAGATATTTTCCAAATTTTTATAGAGAAAATTGAAAATCCCAACACTTTGTGACAATATTAGATTCTTCCTTCGGAGGTCACTGGGAGTGGATTCTTTTACAGAAAGAAAAATAAATAATGCTTACAGGGTAATTCCAGAAATTAGGGGTCGAAAAATGTGACATTTTTGTGTCCCTGTTACATCTGACCTTTGTTATTTGACATGGAAATACCACCAGAATTGATTTCCAACAATTACTAATTGTTTGGCAGGTAATTTGCATTAATTCATCACTCTTGGAAATTAGAAAAATGTGTTCTGAACTTACAAAATCATATGTCAGATGTGACAGGGACACGAAAAAAAGGACCACTAGTTTCTGGAATTGCCCTACTGACAAAAAGTCACATTTCCCCCCCCCACTCAAACCTCAATACGACACTGCCCATACCAGCCTGAAAAAATTGAGAATTGATGTATTTCAGGGAAGGCAACGTTTTGTTCAAAGCCTAGTTCATACCTTCCACAAACCAAGCAAATATGGGGATTAACGGTGACAGCCACAGTGACATATTTACAATGGTTGTGTCGCACACCAAGACCTACATTTCCCGCACGAAGGCAATAGCAGCTTGTCTTTAACAGGGTTCCCAGCGAAATTCCCTGATGTTCCCCTGATGGAAGTTAAACATTTCAGGATCATCATTTTGGCTTTATGGTCTGATAGCGTACACTATAGTGTTCGTGTTACAGGTTACAAGGTTACAGGTGCACCACGGCTGCATTGATACAGAGAAAAAGAGGCATTTACTTCAAGCACACTGAGCTACACGACAAAGCCACTATAGCCATGCAATCATCCACAGGATTCACTGTTTGCTATGGACACGAGGCGAGAAAGTCTGACCACTGGACCTGTAACAAAACTCCCTGTTTTTTCCCTGACTGGAAAAAGGGGAAGCCATTTTCCAGGTTTTCCCCGATTTCCAGGTTTGGCTGGGAACCCTCTTTAACTACAAATTTGAATGCATTTCTGGATGAAATACTCTGGTCCTCCAAATCCACCATGGTGCAAGAGGACATTTTCTGCAGCCTTAACTTTTAAGGGGCATTAAGTGCCAAGCATACAAACAACATCGGATGGTCTACATTCTCCTCGATCCTACATAATCTGCCCAAGGCTCCGCGTAGATTTTAAAAGAAGTAAGTCCCATCTTACTTGAAGTTTCTTGTACAGCCCATAGTTTAGCACCAAGTTGTGTGTCAGCGATAGGCGGTGTGGTTTCATGGGATGCCCTGGTCCTAAAACAGTCACACAAAAGAACTCTGTCAAATGGCCATGAAAGTAAAATGGTTAAAAATACTGTTAGTCTTACTGAGATATAATATCCTAGATTAATATTCCAAGTTCACTGACATCTAAACCACAAAAACACGTGTGTGTAGAGTTATTTCTAAAAAAGCACTTGCAATTGGATTGCTGGCTAAATGCATCACTGACGGGCAAGTCCAGGAATTTGTCCAATTCGCATCTACCACGTGATGTAATTTTCACCTCATAAAAAGCAATGTTCAGTAAGAAGAGAATTAATCGTTTCTGTCTGTGCAATGTACATGTACTTGTGGTGCAGGTCACAACCCCGACAACACTGCACACTTGCCGATAAAAGTGTGCCATGACACCAACACGTTATCAAAGAGGTTGTGCGGGTAAGGGACCACGTGGGGACTTTAACGTTGATTTATCAAGATTGTGACTTTCTCTGTAGTATGTCTGGCTTTCAATTTCATGTGTGTGGAAGTTCTGGAGTCTGGCTGACACGCTGAGAAAATCAAACAGACATATATGTTCAACTTTGTTTTGTTCTAACAAGTCAGCCAAATCACCTTTTACATCTCAAAGAAGCCAAATGGTTGTTTTCCAAGACCTATTACATTCAGCATGTATGTCCATATGTACCTTTAATAACTTTGAAAATGAGCATAACTTAACCAAAAACCTATCAATGAAAAATGGGGCTCGACATGCCTGAAGTCTTACATGTACTGATGTAGGCTCACATGTACTTTGTGTGAATTTTTTTTCAAGTCCTCATTTTTAGCTTGCATACAATTTCCATAAAAACGGCCAACCTACTGCCTAAATACACAAATCCTGATGATGATAGCATTGAGGGGCACAGCCTACCAAAAAAAAGGGGAAAAAAGTTTAATTTAGGGCCCACTGCGCACTACAGGTCAGCCGAGGTTGGTTGTTCATGATGCATAAAATTAAAAAGGTCAACTTAGTGCCTGGTTGTTCTGAAAACATGTTGAGCATATGTGGTAAAATGGTGACTGGGAAAATAATCTAAATTTGAGCCATATTTCTCTTGAGGAATCTTCTCTCTGTGCACCCCTCGGTACCACGCTTTGTCTTGAGAATGTACAATCACCCCTCGATATTTTGTCTTCTTATGTGACAATGGGCCATGCAACAGTGGCTGATGTGTATTGGGATGAATGAAATAAAGAAATAACTTTACATACCATAATGGAAATTACCAACATCCGCGTCGTAAAAGTAGGCAATGGTTTTCGATGACATTTTTAATATCCAGCAATTTATTTACGGTGCATCGCGTAAAAACTCACGAACTCAGTTCAAAGAACTTGCTGCGAAAAGAAGACGATAGCTTCATCTCTTCCACACACTTGCAACAAAACAATGGTCTTCCCTGTTGATCTCGATCTCAAGCTTTCTCATCGGACATACGAGTCTGCACGATTACACAACCTCTTTCTCTGCTCTTCGTCTACTTCGGTTTCAGTAATCACACGAAGTCACAGCATGCATAGCAAAACAGTTTTTGAATGGTTAACAAGCAAAGCATTTCATACGTTTTTTTAAATCTTGTACTGTCTTGGGGAATTTAGTTTTATTTCAAAAACACCAGTACACGTGTTTTTCTTTCGACGATGGTCTCGAATGGACATCATTATAGTGAAAAATAAGCCAAATCCAAAGCTTCAGTATCGAAGCACAGAGGGCGCTGTGTAGCGCTCTTAGGGGTGCAGACCAGAAAATTCAGTTGCCATAGACAACAGTGACACATATCCTCACTTCAAAAAATCAGGAAAAATACTCACAAGTTTCAAAGGTGTTCAAGACACATATCAAATTAAAGCACACTTCCCCATCTTTCATTTTCCTTTCAATTTTCAGTGGCTTAACCGATGCATGTTTTGAAGATATTTCTCTCCAGAGAAACTAACCCCTAAAACAGCCAGGAGGCCCATGGCCATTTTGGAAATTGATGCCTACACTCAAAAAATAGAGCAATTTGGAGGGCCCTGTTTGGTCCGATACTTTCAGAAATGCAAACTGACAGTCCTGTCCCTGCATTTTATTCACCTTTTTAACAAATCACCCAGTCCACGTGCCACAAAAGGTTCGAATAGCATAGGATTTCACAGCCTACAAATCGTCCAATTCAGTCCGCACAGGCAATTTTGCACCTATTTACTGGCCTGAAACCTTATGATGCAGACCAGTAAATATAGCCAACAGTGGTAAACATTTGAACTTCGAAAATCGGCAGGAAAACATGTTTAAGGGTTTCTCAGGCGTTTGAGACGTACATCAAATTAAAGCTCATTTTACAATTTTTCAATTTTGTTTTCGAATTTCCATTCATTAACTGATGAAGGTTTTTTCCACAGAAAATCACCTCAGAAAGCAACCGTGAATCCCCTCGCCATTTTGAAAAATCGATGCATACCTCTCAAAACTGGGACCGTTTTCGGGCACCGATTTCTTCCAAATCTCACTTACACATAAGTTGGCATTCGGCTTGATGTCCTAAACCTGTCCCTTCTACAAATCTGTTAATGGGCCACAAAATGCTAGGTTTCGTAGAAAAATTTGAGTACATAGAAATTGTGATTTGGCCGTTGCGAGCAGTTTTCGGCCTACAGCCTGGCTCAACGCTGCTCCAATTAAACATGAACGACTTATAGGAGATTCTTTAATTGCAGACCGGCCAGTTGAACTTCCCGCTAAAGTATCTAGAGAAGTATTTACAACTCTCCGAGATCTTCGAGACACACATCAAGTTTATTTCACTGTCTTTCAGTTTCTGATAATTTTTGGCGTGTGACTGGCTGATGAGCTGAATCCTCCAGAGATGATCGGGGCTAGAAGGTAGCCCTCTACAAAAGTCCTTTGTCATATTGGGAAAAGTATGCCTTTGCTATTGATAAGCATCATAAAGGCCCAATTTCATCAATATTTCACACACGTTCAAGTTAATCCATCCATGGTTCACAGCTCCCTCCCGTTTGTACAAACCACACTGTGTGCGTGGTAAATGTCAAGGCTCTCGGAAAGTGGAAAAATAACAAAGGAGGGAAAACAAGAAAAGAAAACATAAACAGCAAAGGAAATGAAACCATCATTCTCCTTGGAATTTAAGAACTTGTTTCCTTTTGGCTGGGGCCACGACCCCTCCCACCGCGCCGATGCGCAGACGTTTCCATTTGAACACGATAACCGTTGCATGACATTGGAAATATTAATTACATTAAATATATTCGTGAGGCCATCCATTTTCTAAACTTGACAACTCTTTCGACTCAAGGATTCTAAACTCGTGTTTTGTGTTTTATTTACCATAGAAGAAACCACACGTGATTGCAGAGTATACAGGGTGGTTCCAAAAAAAAAAAGAAAAAAAGAAAAAAGAAAGAAAAAAAAAGGAAACCCAAGTTTGAGGTGATTGTTCAACACATTCTGCAATCCAGAGACTTCGTATTTACTTAGTGTAGGGATGAGTGGGGTGTTAAGCAATAATCCTGAAAAAATGGTAGGTTTAGATTAATTGGATCTCAAGATATCACCCATTACAGATGGAATGAACGAAACTGGTTTGTCCACGGGAGCTTCACTACCCATAAGCATGACTGAACGCAATGAAGACATGTAAAATTTAATTAAGCAGCCTGAAAGTCGCCAAATAATAATAAGCATATGTATATGTCCTGTACTGCATGCGAATAATACTATGTATGAATACTACTGTTTCGTATCTTTCATTATGTGCAAACCTCAAAAGATTTTACTGTTATTTTCGTTCACGAGTACATTTCACCACTTCTTACTGGTTCACTCACAATCGCACTACAAGAGAAGCGTTTGGAAGTACCCGGAGACTGGATGTTGCAGACCTAAGTTATCAAGTCACTTCGTCACTGAAAACAAAACATCGGTACAGTATGATGATAAAACAAATAAAATCGAGCTAGAAGGAGAATTAAATCAATACATTCAATGTAGTCAATATAAATGACTGAATAATAATAATAATTATTGTTATTATTAAGCAATTAATGCATCGTTGTCTGAGGTGTTTTGTTGTAAAGCGTCTTAAAGGATGGAGAACAGTAAAATTCCGCTCACTTTCTTAAAAAAACATACCTCAATTAGCTGATGTTGAATCGTCACGCGTCCTCCCACTTTCCTGCAAGCTCGTTTGGTCGTCATCCTGTTGAAATATTTTCAAGCGAACGGAATAATTCTGTGATTTCAATGTAACTGCCCCCTGGGGGTGGGTGGCAGCTTCAAGTTTACAGGGTCAGACTCCATACCAGATGATTGATAATTGCCACACGTTGCCACCCCGCCGACAGAAACAAACGAGAAACAATACGGGTGCAATGAGGGTTCGTTTGTAAACATTATTACCACACAAGTCAAATGGACAGCTTTGATTCAAGCGCTGGAGGGCGCACGGAACAAACATCATGATACAAATAGTGCCATAAACGTATTCATGGTGAACCTAAGTTTTCGTCTTGGGGTCATCAAGAGTGTCCGTGGGCCAGAAACTAAAATGTTAAAACTCGGGCGATTTTTGAACCAACGACTTTCATAAAGTCTTCCTCCGTTCCAAGCCCGTTTCATCAGTTGTCTCGTAATCAATCAACTGCACACATTCTGTCATGAAACGAAACCAAGCTGGCAATTTTTTTTTGCCTAGACCCAATATCTTCCACTCCAGCTCACATTTTGCATCTCCACGTAATCAAAGGTCGTCTTGACGGCCGCTCTGAAAACAAACACAGAAAACATATGAACATCGACATCTCGTTGCACCTTCTCGGTTGTTAATTGATTATTTATTTATTTTTTTAACATTTCTTGCTCTTCTTCTCAACTGTATGAAAAAAGTGAAACCGCCTGTTTTGGATTACAACTGTAATCAGAATCGCTTTTAAACTGCGATCTGTATTGTGACTGTAATCTTGGATTGGTCCATAGGAGTATTATACCTTTTCTTTCTCATGTCGTGCACCACTATGGAAAATGCAATGATGGGCATCGATGCTCCTCCAAGAACGAGTAATGTAATGGCCCACCATTCCAAAGCAGGTCTCGAGGGGACAGAGTTTGTAGGGTCACTAGTCGGAACATGATGATCTAAGTCACCTAAATCTAGCCTGTGAAAGGATATCAAGCACGCCTACTTTGTTTAAAAATATCTGGGCCCGAATCCCATCACGCAGAGGTGACTGAAGCCACCGCCAGCCATCTTACCGTAGCGAATACAAAGGTATTACAAAAGCTTGCTCGCCATAGTTAACAAATTCCGTTCGTGGCGTTCATAACTACAATGGCCAGCAAGCCAGCCATCGCTGCCGTTTTCGTCATGGTAAAATGGCCGCTGGTGGCCTCGGTCGGTACAAAGATATTGTGAGTCCACAATTGTTTTATGTGACGTCCGTCATCAAGCATAGCATGCTAACAGCTGTTCTCAATTTCTACTATAAATTCATACAGAGTGCTGCTTTACACTTCGTGATACCAGTGATCAATACAGGTGTTTCACAAGAGTGCGCCACCAAGAGTTTGCATCGCGTTGGCCAATCACATTGCGCGAAATGTGCCGTGCCAATACGCTTTTGCAAAGGGTTAACAGAGTTTGCGCGCTGTGATTGGCCAACGGGTTCCAAACTCTTCGCACTATTGTGAATCGACAGTATTGGTATGCAATATTTTTTTCCCTGTTCAAGTACCTGCGATTTGAAGCTGTCATTTTGGTACACAATGCTTTAATTTTCACCTGTATCCAAGAGCTTCCTCAATTGCCAAACGCTCTCTGAAAATCATACGTTTCAGTTGTTTTGATGTCATTGTGAGCTGTTTCCTAGCAAAAGGATTCTTGATGTAGAAGGACACAACCGTTCGCCTGACCTCGGACAAGGCCCGTATTTTGTAGACCATCACGTCATCTGCACTATAGAATGAAAAACCAGTGACATTATTGCAGCCAAAATGAAACGAAAAATCACCAGAAAGGAACCAAATAGAAATGCTAAAAGTAGACTCCTGCAAGCAATTTGCAACGGGCTTCATACTCACTCTGTTATCTTTGGGTTTGTTAAGCAGTGTCCCTTCGCTGCACAGAACTCGTTGCAGGTAATACTCATTGTAGTCTTGAATTCCTCAAGTTTATCTGACTGGAACTATCACATGATATTACAGAAAGCGAAATGTTCCATTCTAGGTCACACTAGGTTTATGAATTACTGAAGAGTATTTTAATGGAGAAAACATAAGTTCAAAATCTGGAATAAAACTCAGAGCTTGAATCAAATTACAGGTTGGCCCATCACACGTAGAAGAAAAAAAGTGAAAGCGAATGGATTTATGGGAATGATAGGACATAAAGAAAAATGTGACAAGACAAGACAATTTGAATCGAGTGGAGTGGGGTCGATCTGATTCGAGAAACATGCCGTCATACCCACGAGAACTCGACGTCGATTCTAAGTTCGATTCCTCCGGTGTCTATGAGCTCCGGCACGGGTTCTCGTGGGTCTGTAGTCGGTGCGAAAGTCGTCTGGTGACCAGTCTCTTCCCGGAAATTGGGCGGGGGAGGAGGGGGAGGTGGCGGTGGCGGTGGGGGCATTGGCTGTTCAGGAGCCGGCGTTGAGCCTGCGAACACAAACAGTTCGTTTTTTCGTTCAAAGTGTACGAGCTGCATCATGGCCACTTTTCTATGATGGAAATTTTTGTCTCGTCGGCCTACACACTTTTGAGCTACAATTAAGAATCCGTGTCAGTGACAAAGAATAACGCACAGCAAATGACCAGAGGATCAGCCGCGTAGAAAAGAAATTACGAACACTTGGTGACTCGACATTCAGAACAAGATGAATGACCGGAAACATTACCATGAGAGCACTCTGCTTTCTGGTGCAGAAGTGTTGCTGAGAACAAGAACAGAGGTACAAAAAGTTCCTTCATCTTGCTACCGGGAAGTTCCAATGCTCTGGGCTTGCTAGTGACTCAAAGCTCTACCATATTACACGAGCGCAAACATAAAAGTGTTTTGAAAAATAGGGTGGCCATGGCACCAAGACGAAAAAACTGTACGATTGACTGGATATATTAATTTGACTAATTCTCGCTTCTATTTCATGGAGTTCAATGATTACATTCTGGAACCTGAACTTCAGGCCAAAGGTTCAGCCTGACTGGTTTCATTTGCTCACCAGGCACGCGCAACACTCAACCATCGTCGATTGCAACAAAGGTGACACTAAATAAGCTCATTGTAGAAACGTGTACATGAATGTTTGTCAACACCAAAGGTTAATGATTTAGCGCCTAAAGTAAACTTTGAAAAAGGCAAAGACGTCTTATAAAACGGACTCTAAGTCTAAACTTAGCGAATTTCGTGTGGGATCTTGAGCTCCTAGGACACTTGGGTTCGATATGGCGCACGAGCAGCTTTTCGCTTCAAGTTAGCATTAAAAACCCGGGTCGGAATCTCCGCCGGCCTTCTTGTCTAATGACGTGGCAGAAAAGCTGCTTCAGACGCCTGGCCTTCAGGAGTTTATTGAGTGATAATATTTTTTGCTGTCATTTTGACGCCAAAAATGTTATGTTGACGTGCTCAGTGCGCACGGGCTCACAGGTGTGAGACCAAGAACTCCGAACTACCATTTTATCAAAGCCGTGTACGGAGTATTGAATACGGAAGATTCACAATAGTGCGCCTCCATGAGTTTGCAACGCGTAGGCCAATCGCGATACGCTGTCGACCCTTTCCAAACGGGCACTGGGTCGACAGATTTCGCACATTGTGATTGGCCAACGCGCTGCAAACTCTTGGAGGCGCCCTATTGTGAAATGCCCGTATTAAAACTTAACAGTTGAACTGATGATGTTGGTCTGTACGTGCATACCGAGGTTTTAAAAAGATCGAAATACAGCTGAACATTGGGGGGGGGTTGTAAGATGGTCTGAAAAAGCCTTGGGATTGAGTTGCCTTTTAAATAAACCACGGAACCACGAGGTTTCCCGAGATCGGCAGATTGTCGTGGGAGGCATTTTGATCAGCAACTCTACGTCGCAAAGAAGAGGCTAATTTTTATGGTGTCCAAACTGACAGGGAAACATCGGCTTCAACATTTCAAACGCCGTTCTAAAATTCTCAAACGCATGTCGTGTTTCAACTTTTGACATCATAATTAAACGTCCCTACGGCGGTGCTGTTTATGCTTGGTATGCACCTTCAACGATTGAAAACTTGAATTGCGAAGTTTGAAAGTTAGACTAAGACATTTGAACGTTGAACCTGGACGTTTAATTAAAAAGTTGAACCAACACGTTTGCCTGGCATGTCCGTTTGAGAACACCATAAAGTAACGATGAATTCTTTAGCATGTGACATATCAAAGGGTCACCAATTTTGCCATGTGCAATTTTCGTTATCATACTGATCCAGCATAAGCCTTCAGGTTTCTGTCATATACGCACTGCCATGTGTGACGGTTTGGGGGCTCTCTAAATACTGTGCTTGGTTTGACGGTCTATTTACCTATGATGGTGACAAAGTGTCTCGTACTTTTTGATGTTTAATTATGTTTGAGTAAAGATACCGTATTACATAGCAAACAGAAAAAGTGCGCAGCAAGGTTTTTTTCCTTGTGTGCCTTCAACACGAGCAGGTATGTGAGCCATGTGGTTTGAAGGCATAACTATTCAACACAGTCTGTTTTTACTGCTTCCTCACGGATAAATCTCTCCACCACGGAGCTCTCTGAGGAGTCCACGTTATCAGAGAATAAGACCAGCAATGTTTCAAATACTGTATACCGTTCGCCGAGTCACCCGTGGGGCCGCTGCATTTCAAGCCGAGCCCCAGGTGACAAAAGAACCCTGGGACGGGACGTGCAACGCTACGTTATACTAAGTCTTGTATACTTCCAAGATTCTTGTGTTCAAGGCCAACAGTTGGGCAGTTTCCCAACAGCCGGCCAATTTCTGCTACCTAGCATCGATGAAGACTGCATATCTATTCAATGAGGTCAGCGGATCGCAACTAGCAAAATAATATGACATCTGCGTGAAGTGTACTAAGTAAAAACCCAACCAGACCCAACCCAACTTGAACCCACTGCTATCTACTTAAACAAAATTGAAATGGCTAAGAAAAGATAATGGAGGCCAGCCAAATCTTTGAAAAGTCATCAATTTCAGACAGAAACCAATGCAGCATGGAGATACTCCTCCTGGGATGACATCACAGTTTTGCGCATAAACATATAAATACTCATTAGCATGAAAACTTTAAATGGGCAGCAAATTACACTTTCAAATAAAGAAACAAAAACTGAAAATGAGGTCAAGTGAGATGTAAAGGTACATTTTGGAGGTTTCATTGACACAAATGCATCGCAGTTTATAAATCTGTGTACTTATTGCCACTTTTGCATAAAGACAGTGTTTCAAAACCTCGCTGGTACTTGTAAGCTTCCTTAAACACATAGAACTCTTTCAGAATGAAGATAGCATCCTTTTGAGCGATTTTTCGCACTGGCCCAAAGTGAAAACCGCTGTAAAGGATGAACTTACAAAGGGTCATAGGGAACACTGGACATGTAACAAATGGTAGTTTTTACTTAATTTTACGAGAGATATGTTGACTCTAAAAATATTTATTCTTTCAAAAAATTGTTGGAAGCTGTGTTTGTTAACTATTCGATAAAAAGCAAGTCTGTAAAAGACTTGAAAAGGTTTTGAATGGATTTCGATTTAACAGCATGGTGTGAACATGGACCATCGTGTTTGTCACGCAGATTGAAACGGCATTTTCTCTGTTGGTGTGGCGTTAACTTCATAGTCGTCAGTATCAACTACCGATTGAACGTCTTTGGATTTATGACAACAGGTAGGCGTACTTACCAAAGAAATAATCGGTTTAGGTCGGCCAGGTTATGACAATTACAGAAGGCGTCAGTACACTAAATGGAGTTAATAAGAACAGTAGAAACTAACTTGTTATCGTCTCCTCGCCAGGGGTACCCGCTACACAGGGACGGGAACCATCCCAAACGATTGGATGGTTGATTGGTCATCATCTAGTAGTCAAAAGGCATATAACTTTCACAGCCGATCAATCAATGTGCGAACATCGCTACTGTGTAGATAAACACTTGTTCCCCAAGGTAGAATGCACTATTGTCTTGTCTACCACTACAGGTGATGAGGTGGTACCGGGCAACGCAGGACTTCTTGACCAAGTATTTGCCCTTGATTGGATCAAGAGAAACATAGCAGGTCCGGTCACATTTTGTACTACGGGCATGGAAATATTTCAATCTGCTCTGCCGGTCGGGAAATTGGGAACGAAAAATTCCCATTGTGAAAATTCTGGATTTTAAACAGCTTGCAATCAGTGGCGTAGCCGGGGGGGGGGGGTGTCCAGAAGGCACGTGCTCCCCCCAAAGTCCCCGTGCCCCCCAGGTTTCCCCACTGAAAAAAAACGGATGAATGGATATTGAACAAGGCTAACAAAAAGTTGCCCCCAAAAAGGGTAAATTAATGACAGTTTGAAGGAAGGTGGAATTTTACAAATAACAGAAAAATATTCTTTTTCGGCCCAGTTGATTACTACATAATACTAAGTGGTTCAAAAGGAAAATCAAGTTTGAAATACAGTACTACTTATTTGCTGGCGCCGTCACAGTCGTCCCCATGATATCAGTGGGACACGACTGCGTGTCCTGTCTGTGAGTCGACGCCACTACCCATAATTTTTTGCTTGTCCCCCAAAAAGCCTTTGGTGGGGACAACAAACGAATTACCATCTTCGGCGAGAGTGCTGGGTCGGCCAGCGTCAGATTCTTGCTACTGTCGCAGATGTCGCAGGGGCTGTTCCAACAAGCCATTATGCAGGTTAGTTTTGATTGTAGGCCGTGTCCGAAACGGGCTTCCAGAGCTACGGCTAGGTCTAGTGTCTACGCGTCTCCACGCATTTCCAATGGAGTGAAGACCTAAACCTAGCTCTAGACAAAAGATTCAGATGCCACCTTATTACTCGATGCGTCAACAGTTGCAGGACTGAAAGCGAGGCAACGCTCGTGCGTCAATGCGCCTCCTACAGCGCGCCACCAAGAGGTTGCCACAAGGGTCAAGTTTGGACGGCCTGTTCTCGTGTGTTCACGAATAGCTCGATTTGCTGTTCGTTGGTTTGCCGCTCGATTGCCTGGAATAAACAACCGGTTATTGCTGGTAGTTAGTGGCAAAAGCAACATGCAACATGGCGGCGTTCATTTACGTTCTTCGAAGGTTAATTTGGATAACTTGGCTGAATTCTTTTCTGTTTAAAAAGGAACATTAATTTCTGTTTCATGGAAAATTATTGTTATTTTTTTTAAAAACTTCCTATTGATTGTCTCCAAAATCCTATGAGTTTTCCGTGTGTTCATGTAAAACCCTGACGAGGAAGTGGTGGTGATCTTCTTCGGGGAACAGTGTTCCTGGGTCGTGTTCCTGCCGTTCGATCGTGAGAACAAGAAACCTGTTTCAAGAACAGGCCGCCCGAACTCGACCTGTAGGAGGCAGTGCAATGGGGAGAGGGTCGACTCTCCGCCAGCTGTACTATGCTTGGGAAACGTGAATGGCCCTCTTGTTCGAAGATTTGT